TAGATAGATAGATAGATAGATAGATAGATAGATAGATAGATAGATAGGAGTTTTTATTTTATGGCCCTTTCGCATTAAACTGCTAAACCGTGCAACAGCGTCCTCTAATGGATAAATCTGTAACTACACGCTGCCGGACAAAAAAAACAAAAGGAGGAAAACCCAACTTATTGTCTCCTCTCGGACACCGTACAATTTGCGGAAGTGATCGAATTTATTATAGCAGCTGTTGTATTTAGGTTATTGTGGATATTTTAAGTGTTCATTGATATTTTAATTGTTAATTGATATCCGTTTACCGTTTCAGGATTTTAAAGAAAATGGAGGATGAATGGGAGGAAGAGGTATTTATCGCAATAATAGTGCCCTTGTTTACATACCAGGGCTAGGACTAGCCTCTTAGCTAATAAGTTAGCCAATCAAAACAAAGGCAGCTTGACCGATTTATGTGTCCTTTTTTGATATTCTGAGTAATGTATAACAACTAGGTTTGCTTTACCTTTTGAAATACACACCTTTTAGCAAAGTTCCTATCACATTTTAAACTGTGCATGCCTAAAATGAATGATAATCACCTTGTGCATGTTCATATTGTGTATTTTTATTTTCAAATTTGTGTATTCTGCTTCTTTTATCAATACCAGAACACTTTTGTTGTATGTGTGCTTTTTTTTTTTTTTTAAATGTCATTTTTGTACTAGGTTTTGTTTCACAGCATCCAATGTTGTGTGTTGTGTTCAGGAGCAGCTTGTTCTGGTGGAACTTTCAGGAGTCCTCAACAGTGACTTTCTGACTAAATTTCGAGGCTCATGCAAGATACTGGTGAGTTTAAGGTGATTTAGCATTAAAGCTGATGCAAACCACGAGTTTCTACTTGCTGGCTGCTGCATTTATTTATTTTTAATGTGACAGGATATAGACAGTGAGAGGCCCATGATGCAGGTTGGACAGTATGTGTTTGCTGGAGATTATGAAGGTAAGTTAAAACCACTGAAAATAAATATTTTAAATAATTGAAGCTACATGTGTAACTAAACTAACATTTGCCATACATGTTCATTTTTTTTTTTAACTTTACCATTTTCTGTATAAAAGCATTTAACTTTATGCCACCTAGACCATCTCTTCTATTTTTAAAACCCATTATGATATAATTATGTTCACACCTGTAACTTAAATAAAAAATATTTTTAAGACTAAATGTTTTGCGTTTTTAAAACTGTAACAAAATTAAAGTTAAAAAAAAGCCATAAAAATGTACATGTAAGTTTTAAATTGGCCTTCATGTTTGTTTTAACTTTTTTAAATACTGAGACTTGTGTTTCATTAGACAAGATCTAAAAAAAAGAATAAATAAATGGCCTAGCATTCCTTGAAGGAATAGTTATAACCCTTTGCCTTTCACAGCAGTTTTAATTCAAGTTGACAGCCTCATCGAGAACGACTCTCAGCAACTACCACATACACTTTACCCCAATATGTGCAGTTCTGAGTAATTTATAGTCATTTTTGTTTTGGCAAAAGTAGATTAGTGCACCACACTTGATGTTGCATCTCAGTAGGAAGGTCGCAGGATCACCTCCTAGCCTGGATCCTTTCTGGGTGGAGTTTACATGTTCTCCCTTTGCACACACACAGGTTTTCTTCAAGTGTTCCAGTTTCTTCTCGCAGTCTAAAAACTAAAAACATATATGTTAGATTATTTGGTTGGTTGTCTCTGTGTGGCCCTGTAATGGACTTGTGACCTGTCCAGGGTGTACCCTGCCTCTAGCACAGTGACTGCTGGAGAGAGACATCAGCTGACCAATGATCCAGAAAGGAAAACTAAGTAAAGAAAGCTGAAGGCTGTGGCAGCCATCTTGTATTAGGTTGACTCCTAATGTCATTCTGATGTAAATTTACACACAATGAATAACTTTCTGCAAGTTTCATTGAAATTTGTCCAGTGGTTCACTAGATATTTTGCTAACAAACAGAGTTGATTTCAATAGTTAATGGTAAAGTCTTAAAAGTTTATCTCACTCGATTGGTTAGTAGTGCTTAGAATATTTGTTGAGAATGACGCTCAGCTACTTTACCACACCAAATTTAAACTCCATGTCTTTAAAAATTATTTGTCAACGCTTTTATTTATGAAGGCAACATAGCTGTCTCTGCCATTTTGAATGGGACTGACTCCAAAAGTTAATCAGTCATAGACTTATGTCAGGTGATAAATCAAATCTGTCATCTGGTTCTTAAGATCTTGGGCTAACAGTACAAACAGTAAAGACCTTTTTAAACTAAGCCTTGTACTATAAGGGGCTGAACTGACACTGATTTGGTTGCCCAAGTTTGGTTATAGTTGTGATAGATGTTGCTGCATATTCTGGATGTATTTAATAAAATAAATAAATAAACATGACCATATACCATGTTGTTGTTTTTGCTTCAGATGCCTTGGGAACTTGTGTCGTTTTTGAAGAGGTACCACGAAAAGGTGAGGGTCTGCAGCATTTTTTTAAGTATATTGTTGATACCTAAATGTTTGTAGTTTTTGTTGTTTTTGTTTGTTTGTAGGTGTTTTTGAGCTTCTTTTTTTGAATGTGTCTGCAGGAAAAGCAAACAGTGGCCCAGACCTCAAATACATGTGCCACACTATGAAAAAACTGACAATGCAACGAATCTTCCTCACTGAGAAGAAAGATGGTGAAACCGTTACAGGTCAGACAAAATAACATTTATTCCTACATTATCTAAAACTGTAATTGTTTTTAATTGCAGCTTCTTCTTTGTGATATAAAGGAGATAATACAACATTTTTATTAATTGATTGATTCAACCTGTCTTTTTTTTGTCAGCCTAACAATAAATAAACCTAGCAGCACACTATTAAAAACCTAACGTATGACCATTTGTTTTGTTCCCACAGAAGAAGCTGATAGTCAACAGATGGACACAACTCATCTGTCTAAACAAAAGGAAAATGACAGCGCACAAGTAGTGATAGACGATAATATAGAAAACAACAACAAAGATATGGAGGACTCAGCTGCTGAGATGTGAGGACTTTATAGATTATAACCTCTCAATATGAAGATAAGACATGTGCCTCTGTAAAAAGTTTCAAGGTCTGGTGTTTATAAATATATGCTGTTCAACAGCAATAATGAAGTATTTCTTTCCTAGTTGTTTTCTTTAAAACAAAAAAATTCTACAGAATATAGTGCTTTTTTTTATTTGAGCTTCATATAAAATTACTTTTTTATTTTTACATAACTATTGAGAACATTATTATAGTAACTTCTCTTATCATGGAAGGCCATTGCTATTTTCTAACAATGTTGGGGCTGAGATGGGGTAGAGGCAGGGCAGACGGCCTGGGACCAAAAACTCCCAGCCATTCCCACATGTCGTGGTGTCTCTGAGCAAGACACCTAATCACTAATTGCTCCCCGGCAGCTTGCATAGCTGCCCACTGCACCAACTGGGTGCATCTCATGTGATGAGTTAAATGTAGAGAACTCATTTTGCCATTGTATAGAACATTTGATGATGACAGTCTCAGACTTCCCTTCTCTAATATTAAACCCAATGTTTTAGAAAAGTGCATTATAGAAGAAAATCGCCTCTTATTGAATCATAAATTCCTCCCAAGACCCTAGATGACCACATATCACAATATTTTAAGTAGTCTTTAGAGGATCTTACATAACTAGGTTCTTTATAGTTCTTATCATTTTCACTGAATATTGTTTTTGTTTTACACATTTTAAATTTGGTGTTTGCAAAACTCCAGACATTGGAAACTGCTGCTAAAATCTACTTTAAAAGAAAGCTCAAATAAAAATAAAAAAAATAAAGAAACGTCACACAGCCTATTCGATTTTTTTAAAGCAATGTTTTATCATGAAAGGCTTGTTTGCATATATTTTTAAAGAATTGTTTTTTGACCACAAGCTTTCTTTTTCTCATTTAAGAGATAAAAACTTACAGATATTAGTTTAAAATCCAAACATATTTGCATCACTGGTACACTTATTGTGCTTTTTTTATTACATAGTTTTATTTTTGTGTACGTGTACATTATTGTGTTTGCTACTTTCACATTTTTAATAGAATTTCTGTTTTTATGGTTGATTTTTTTCTTTCTAAAAATGTAAACTCAATATGTTTTATCAATAAATGTAGTTATTTTAAGTAGTTTGTCCTTTCAAATTCATTTAATAAGCTGTAAGATGAACAATTCTTCTCCATAGTACAAGTTTATGAATGAGCTCGATGTTGGTGCCTTTGAGGACGTGGCGGTTCTCGGCCAATCCAATCAACGCTTGTCCTTCATGTGGACCAATCAGATGGCGACATCGCATTTCCCTCCTTGGTGCCTGATTGGTCAGTTATCGGTTTTTTTCTTTCTTGCACAGGAAGTAGAAGGGTGTGTTTCCGAGGGGAGGGACTAAACCAAAAAAAAGCATCAACGACGAACTTCCCTGGACACCGGCGAGTTTTCTTGGCAAATTGTGGTGAAAATCCTACAAGCGAGAAGAAACTCGTCTAATTGAAGAGGTTTGAAATCTATTTGTTTTGGTTGGGATTACAGTTGCGTTGTTTGAGTTAACGCTGGGAACTTGTAGGACGGAGGATGGAAGTAGCGGTGTCGCGTTAGCCAGTCTGGGTCAACAGGACAGAAAATAACGGTCACAAATTGCTGTAAAGCTGCTTATTGAAAACTAAAGACAGTGGGATACATTTAAATTAGCTCTACATTAACTATTGAGTACAACTTTCGCTTTAAAGGTGTCCGAGATAGCGGTGGCTAATTTGAGACAAGAACGGATGTTATTTTCCCCAGACTGTAACACGAGTGGATTATTTTAATTTACTGAAGTTAAATTGTGCATTTCAGCTCGTTTGTTGTGTGTACAACCAAAAATATGTGTGTATTGCAGGATGTTTTGACGCTATTCCAATAGCTGACAGATATGAGGTGGGTAGAAGTAAAAATATGTTTATTTGGATGTAGTTGAAGGTTTTAAAGTAATAAATTTGAAGAGTTACTACACTGTATGGAGTACTTTTTTATTTATTCTGTCACGCACACTTTGTGTCGTGGCACATTCTTGGAATGTTGTTCATTTAATCTGGTTTTGCACCTCTTCCAGTAGTTTAAGTAAACTTTATTTATGTAGCACTTTTCAAATAGTATCACAATATAGCAAAAATTATGTATTTAATAGTACAACTATACCATTTTGTACAAATACATGTACATAAGATAGATTTCCTTGTTTTACTTTTGATTTTCACTTATTTTGATGATCACGTGAAGCTCGTGCCATTCACTGGCAACTAATGTAATATAATATTTTAGTTTTTCCAATAACTGTTAAATCATGTCATTTTTATCACATCGACTCTTTTTCACTCAAGTTTCTCTTCGTATCAAACAGACATTAAGTGTAGCCTTAATTCACATTATTTGTTTAATGCGTTACTTGGATTGTTTCTCCGTTCTAATGATCTTTATTGCAAAATATCAAAGTGTTGAAGGATTAGCAATAGCTGTGGTATTTGCTTGTAGTGTGAATACTCTTCTTCACCGTCTTGTTTAGTCTGTATTGATCCATCCGTTGTGCTTACATAAAGCTTTACAAGAAGGATTGTTGGACTAATATATTTTTTTGCATCTTCTGTTTTTAGGAATTGTTTATACAAACGTAAAATGGAGCTGAGGCCACTTGTCATGTGCTTTGCCCTCTGCGTGGTTTACGCCACCAGCAAACCCACAGAGAAGAAAGATCGCGTTCATCACGATGAGCGTCTCAGCAACCTTGAGCACGATGATGCCGATAACTTTGACTATGACCACGAGGCCTTTTTGGGCCAAGAAGAGTCCAAGTCTTTTGACCAGCTCACACCAGAGGAGAGCAAAGAGAGGCTTGGGTAGGAACATCATCTTCACATTACTGGGATTTTATTAGTCTAAAACTCATACCTGTTTTGGCAGCTGTGAAAATGCATTTTTGCTCTTGATCTTTATTATTCAAAGAGAAGTATTAAACATGTTTTTGTGTGTGCAGAATGCTGGTTGAACGCATAGATGAAGATAAAGATGGCTACGTGAGCGCTGAGGAGATGAAAAAGTGGATTAAACATGCACAGAAGAAGTGGATCTATGACGACGTGGATCGACAGTGGAAGAGCCACGACTTTAACGGAGACGGAGTGGTGTCCTGGGAAGAGTACAAGAATGCCACATATGGATATGTCCTTGGTATGGCTCCAGACTATTTTCTGTTTTGTTTCTGATGTATTTCTGTTGTTCCAGTCTATATGTTGCGTCGATAACGCAGCTAAACTTGGACGTAGTCTAAAAAAAATCATGACTTTGAACCAACAGATGAGACTGATCCTGAGGATGGTTTCAACTACAGACAAATGATGGCACGTGATGAGAGGAGATTCAAAATGGCTGACCAAGACAATGATATGAAAGCCAACAAGGAGGAGTTCACAGCTTTCCTTCATCCTGAGGAGTACGACCACATGAAGGACATTGTAGTGTTGGTAAGTGACACACTCGGACCGATAACTTCACTAATATTTTTGGTTTTCAATGCTCAGCCAGTCTGTTTGTTTTTTCTCTAGGAAACTATGGAAGATATTGACAAGAATGGAGATGGTTTGATTGACCTGGATGAGTACATCGGTGAGATCCTACAGCATCAACAGTTTGCAACAAAAAAAAAGTTTGTTCAAAGCAATATTTTCACCTCTCTCTTTATACTCTTGTTTTCCAGGTGACATGTACAACCAGGATGGAGACGCCTCAGAACCTGAATGGGTAAAGACGGAGAGGGAGCAGTTCACAGAGTTCAGAGATAAAAACAAAGATGGAAAGATGGATAAGGAGGAGACCAAAGACTGGATCCTGCCCATTGACTACGACCACGCTGAGGCCGAGGCCAAGCACCTGGTCTATGAGTCAGATACGGACAAGGTGCTTCTAAAGTTTTAATTAATTTCAGATTAACAAATACATTAACAATAATTGTTCTTGCATTGAATCAAATAGACATATATGTGATCATCTAAATTCATTTACATGTGCATCAACAAGTGTGTAGTGCAAGGCTGAAAGATGACTGCTAAAAGAAGCTTAACAATTATCTACAGGCAATGACGCTGACGACTAAAAGTTCAAATATGCAATATAAACAGATCCTTTTTGATCTTCTTTTTACTCGTCCTCTGTTAGGATGGTCGTCTAACCAAAGAAGAAATTGTTGATAAATACGACCTGTTCGTCGGCAGCCAGGTGACCGACTTCGGAGAGGCTCTGACTCGACATGACGAGTTCTAACTCCTCCACAGACTGTGCGCTCATCCTGCGTTCCACCTGATGACTCATCCCAACGGGCACCGAGTTGAGACAGGACGAGCCCACCTTATTTCAACGCCACGAACAATAATTTATTTCATTTTGTTGAATGTGTCCCATCGTGCACACACTAACATTCTAACTACATGCTTGGCTGGTGTGTTTAGTAGCACCCTTGACTGGTTTTTATGTCTCCAGCCTCTGCTTCCACTCTATAGTCTTTTCTATAGTAAACCTGGTAAAGAAAAAGCAGTTTTCCCTTTTTTCTTCTCCATTTGTTGCTTTAACGATGACTTTATGGAACAGTTTTGTCTTGCTATTAGACATTTTTATACAACTACAAAGTTTAAGCTACAGTCTTTAGAAGAGTTTTTGATGCACCATTTCTTTTTTTGCAATGCAAGTGATTCATTTGTCCCTAATTACAGTTGGTTTTAATGCTTTTGTCCATTGTTTCAAGTTAGGATTGATATTGTAATGCTGGATCTGGAGTTTTTTTTTAGAACAGAGTAGATCATAAAGTCTAGGGGCAATAAATACTAAAGTCTCAGTGCAATAAATCATAAGCGAGGCTGTGCTGTATTTACTCTTTTGGTCCATGTTGACACAAACTTTGTGCCCTGCACAAGAGACCGTTTTCTTTTGTGATAGATGAAGGATTCTAGATGAACTGAGACATCGTTTTAGATTGGATCACTTTGGTGTCTTAAAACACCCAAAGACAAGTGTTTTACCTCCAACTGATCCAATCTAAGACAAACCTTTAGTGACTGATGGTTTGTACTCAAAGCTGCTTCTGGTTTTTTATTTGATCACCTCAGTAGTGTGTGCATGTGAGTGAGTTTATGTGTACATATGTTACATATATTTTGATAGCAGATTTTTATGTTTCGAGTTTCATTTGATTCAGCTGAACTAACTCCTGTGCCAAGCAAAATTTTTAAATGTTTGTTTTTGGGGGGTGGTGCAAAATACAAATTTTTTTTTTTCTTGGGAAAAATAACTTTTTCCCACCTGTATCATCAGTACCATCATTTATAACCACTGTTATTAGTTTAGATGATAGCAGCAGTACGTCTTACGGTTTTGTTTTTTACAGGCTCACGGCAGCAACAAGCCTTTCTTTACTTGTGACTTTTCTCTTAATAAGTTGTTGCTCAGCAGACTGAGCACTCAACAACCACGTCCTTTATTTGTCACTGAGAACAAAATCTGAATAAAATGAACAAATATCTGCTTTTGTTTTGTTTTTGACTCAATAAATCATTTATAAATATTACTGTGAGCTCCTGTTTTTATCTGATTGTCTTTGTGTTTTATGGACAGGTTTTAAAACCGTTTTATACACGAGATAAAAAGCTAATGCTAACCTCAATAGACCAAAAGAAAGATTTGGCAGATAGTCCACTTCAACAAAAATTAAATTTGGACCCACAGTGTTTACACCCTTTCACTTTTTGTCTTGTCGTGGTGCAAAGAGGAGGAATTGGAAATACCCTCCGCTGGTCAGTCTGTGTTGTGAGCTTAATAACCTAAAATACGTGGCAACTTTTATTTTAGTGCAACTGCATAGGTGTAGAAAAGTCACCATTAAAAAAAGGTTACATCAAAATCCAAGATGGCTGCCACCATATATATAATATATATATATATATATATATATATATATATATATATATATATACTTGAATAACTTGCACAAAAAACATTAAGGTTTACTTTGACAAGTCATTGCTGTGAGACAGAGCATAATGCTGCCACCACCATGCTTTTCTGTAAAGGTATATTAAGGTGGATTGTGCAAATATTTGAGGGAAATTGAGATTCTTCCTAGTCAAATGACTGCCAAGGCAACTTGGCATAAGAAAAAAAACATTAAGCATACTTTAGGATGACTTTTCCAAAAATGAGACCGCAATTCAAATCAAATTCTGATTAAAAGAAAGATGTACTTTAATAAAACTCATCCATCTTGAACAGGATGGAGCAGTTTCTGCCTTAATTGAAGAATGGCGTGTGGGTGGGATTCTTGTGTGTGTGTGTGAAGAGATGATTTGTAAAGACATACCTCAAGCAATTTGCTACTGTAATTGCTGCAAATGTGGAGAGAGGAATGTTAATGAAAGCCGTACAGAATTCAGCTTTACTTTGAGTTTGGCCAGAAGATAAATGAAAACTTTCACAAAGTTGTATGTACCTTTATAATACCTGCAGCAGTTCTTCACAAACTTTTTAGCTGCACCAAATAAAAATGACTGAGGCTTGTGACCTTAACTAAAACTGTCTGAATCGTACAAACCCTGATAATAAGCCAGCTTCACAAAGGCACAACTAAAACACAAAAAGCCCAACAATCTATTATCCTATTTATTTATGATTATTGCTATTATCTTGTAATAGTTTGATTTCTAAATATTATCTTAAGACCTGCACCCTTTAGTGTTTCACAGCCAGTGAGAGCCAACCCCCAATGTTGGGACCCACTGACATGTAAACTTATTTAAACTTTATGAATCTTTTTTTTTTTGTCCCATGCAGCATTCATTATGAAACCTTTCATTCCTTTAACACTAATGGAATCCAAATGAAATGAAAACTCTGCTCATCATTTGATCCAACGTTAGTTTTTACTTAAGTTCAAGGGAAACAAAGAAAAATACAACTAAACTTGAAGCAGACTGAAGAGTATACATATTTATTGTGTGAGAGTTTTGAACACAGCCTTCAACTAGCAGCATTTTTGGCTGCGGTTATCAATGTGAAGTTAACTCCTTATCACATCAGTTGAACACAAACTCTGACATCAGTAACGAAAAGAAACTGCTGAATCAGCTCAGTAAACTTGGTGCTGCTATAACTGTGATGCTGCATTCTTAAAAAACAAACATCAGTTATCGAGGAGTTTATCTTATAAAGACATTTCAGCTGCGTTCAGTTTTCATTTCTCTCCAGTCTAACGTGGAATAAATGGTGTAATACTGCATATATTTGTTGTGATTATTACAAGTGTTGCTGAACACCTATGTACATGATCATGTTGTGTAATCCTTCATATGTGCATTGTGTGTGCGTACTGTCCTCGTTCATGTCTGCAGAGTCAGGGCAGTGTTATGTTCTTGCTCGAGGGTGTGTCTGCTCTTCGTCTTCATCTTACAGACTCCACCGTCTGTCGTCTACCCACACGCTCTCATTGCCTGTGATATCATAGTGACATCATTTACGAAATGTGATAAAAACGGGATTACATAGAGCAAGAATTCTCAGCAGCTCTTCTTCATCTGAGTCCAACTCACCCTCACTGTTCTTGTCTGCATCTTCACCTCCATGAAACTCGTCCTTCTCTCCCACTCTACAGCTGTCTTGGTTGTTTCCTGAGTCGGCCAAAGGCCCGCTGTCCTGTGGACTGTCATTGTCTCCTGTCCCGCCTTCAGACTCTGATGGTTCTGAATGGTCCAGACATGTGGAGGGTTGGTTTGCCTCTGTGTTTGGAGTCTCTGCCCTTTGCACTGGTGTTTCTGGAGGAGTATCAGTGGGAGATGTATCTATGTGCACCAAAGTGGCTTTTAGAGGGCTTTGGTCTGGGGTGACAGGAGGTGTACCTGTGTTTGTGGGGAAAGATGAGGACAGTAATGGTGAATATGGTGGGGTTCTCACATAGACTTTCAGGACTCGTCTGTTTGTTTCTTCTGAAGCCATTTGGCTGCATTTTGTGCTAAATGGAGACGAGTGGCTTGGGAGTGGTTCACTGGTATTATCAAAGTTAATTGTTTGCAAATCTGGGTCACTGAAAGGTGCAGGTTCAGTGGTATCACTGGTTGAAGGACCAAAGCTGATGTCAGCTTGTATCTCGCAAGTGTCTGGGATCACATCACAAGGTGAACCAGGACTTTCTTTGAGTGACGCATCATCTTGAGTCAAAGATATGGGGCTCAGTTCCTCCTTGGCTGGGGGAAAGGAGGGTGAGCTAGAGGAGGTTTTAGTTGGTGTAGAGGCCTTGTTATTGAGAATCACAGGGCTGCACACACTTTCAGCAGGAACAAAAATGGCGTCAGAAGCAGCAGCTGTTCTTTGTGGAGTGGGTTCTTGACCGACGGGGATGTTTTGTGTGGGGTAAATGTCTGATGCGTCTGGGAAGCTGAAGGAAAGATTGCAGGTGCCATATTCTTCATTCTTGTAGGGGATCTCCTCCATCTTTGGCATAGCACTACGGTGACTCACCTTAGGAGGAAACATGAGAAAAATCCTTGATTAGTTTGTGTCATTTAGTTATTGGCAGTGGCTGAATGTTTTAGAGGTATTACTACGATAAACAGAATAGAAAGGAAAGGCATATATGAACGATGATCAGCTTCAATCAACAACTCACCATCTGAAACCACTGTAAATTCTGTAGAAGAACATAAAACACTATTTCAGAGCATGCCAATAAATGCAATGAAACTATGTTATTTACATATGTGACGAAAATGGAAAAACCTAAATGTAGACTGTTACAGCACATCTGACCCCATATTAAACTCTCACACACAAGTTACTCATCACTGCCTTCATCAAAACATCACATAAAGAAATGTTTTATTAAAAGCTGTTCAGCCCCTCCAATATAGACAAACGATGCTGTTTGGCAGCACCTAAGACATGTTGTTCCTTCCTTCCTTGTCCTGATGTGTGGATTATAAGTGTTCTTACCACATTTGGGTGTTTGCCCTGGGCCACACAGCCTCGCTCCAGTGGGTCCCTCATTCCTTTGCGTCTCTTCCTCAGCTTCATCAGCATTAACAGGAAACATCCAAGCACAGCCATGAACGCCAAGCTGAGAAACAAAGCTTTACCCACCGTGCAGCCTGTTAGGCGTTCTCCCTGAGGGACTGCGGTGCACAAAGAGAAACATGCAGGGATCTTATTTCATGCTGCGCTGGAAGTCTGTAGAAAATGCTGGATGAATGTTGAGGTGTGGGACCTTACTCATTTGTCCTTCAGGTAGCACCTCCACCACTACGGTGGCAAAGGCTGTTTCACCTGATTCCTGGTCCACAGCAATTACCTGGAAAGGATGATTGTAGGTTTAATTTATGAGAGATTAAGATGAGGCATAGTGTACGAACACATTTCAGTATATAGAAATATAAACTGCTGTTTCTGGATTAAAAGAAGATGGTTATCAAATCATTGCTAGAACAACATTAGACCAGCAGAGGAAATGGTAACCAGCATTTTGACTGTAAAGATCTCAGTATTTCAGCAAACCTCACCTCCACAATGTGCTTCTGCTTTGGTTTGAGACGATCGGTTCTGGCGATCAGAAGCCCCCCCTGTGTGACTTCATAGATGTCTGTGTGACTGGAAGTATCACTAAAGCTGAAGTAGATCATCGGATTGAAACCCTGTCCATTAATGGGCGAAGAAAGGAGCTGATTAGTAGCAGAAACAAATCCAGATATGAATCAAGCACGTTGGTGCTGTTTGAACAGTTTGAGGTCCAGAGGCATTACTTGGTTGAAATCTTGGTCCTGAACATTTAACACTAGAGCTATGCTGCCATACGTGTGGACCAGAGACGCTTGACTCTTTCCTGCCGTCACAAAGCCATGATATTCAGCTAAGTTGAACTCTGGAGGAAACCGGTTCACTGCCAGAACTCGGACCAGCGCTATAGCAACACAGTACTTCCTGGGGTCATCGTCCTGGAATGCCTGGGTGCAAAAGAAGCCACAATAACGTGGTATGACTCTAGCAATATAAACTTAAAGAGAATTCCCTGTAAGCCTGTACTAACAGAGTCGTACCATAACCTGAAGGTGCAGCAGTGGAGTTTTGAGTCTGTCTGTCACACGTTTAATTAGTTTCATCTCTCCTGTCTTTGTGTCCATCCTGAAACGTCCATCTTCATTTCCTGAAACGAGCACAAACACGGCTCCAGATGTAAGCTGAGCACGCCTTAGATATAAACCCATACAGGCGTGTTTTATACCTGAGAGAATAGAATAGCTGACTGACGAGCTCAGCGCTTTGTCTTCATCCTCTGCGTGAATGGGACCAGGAGAAAAGTCCAACACGACGTCCTACAACATGACGCCCAGTTATGTTTGATTCTATCTCCAGTAAAAGGTTTGCTATGTCTGAGGAGCATTGTGTTAGCTGACCTCTTCCCCCTCTGTAACATTGACCATGTACACGGGGCTGGTGCAGATCCGAACGGTCTCGTTTTGGAGAAGCAATAGGCAAGGCTGGAACTCGGGGTACTGGTCATCTCCATCGAGAACTGAGATGGTGATGTTGGTGCTGGTGTTGAAGTTCTCTGCAGTGTTCATTTCCTGTCATGCATGCAAATCAACCATTTAGATAAATGGGCTGCACATAGGCTGTTAAATATGTACAAAGACACAAGGTAGTGAAGTGTACTCACTGCAGCGTAGACGGTGATGGTGAGCATAGTTTTGGTTTCATAGTCCAGAGGTTTGGAGAGGACCACCTCTCCACTGTTCAGCAGATCAATGTGGAAATATTCTGCATCAGGCTGCAAAACCAGACACATCACAGACTAATAAGGGCTTGTTTGTGGTTTATTTATGTATTTTAAAAGTTTAAATGTAGTACTTACCGATGCCTGGTCAATTGAATAAACGATTGTGTCATCATCTGCATCTTTGGCCTGGACAGTAAACGCTACAGTATTCACTGGAGTCAGCTGAAAAGACACAGAAACAGATGATAAATGATAAACAGATATGTGTGAGTGTGTGTGTAGATTGGTGTATGTGCTTGTGCAAACATCGTACCTCGCTCAAAGTGAAAGTTCGGACCATGTTTGCTGGAAACGTGGGTAAATTATCATTTTCATTAAGAATCTCCACCAGGATTTTGTAATAAGTCTGTCAGAGTGAACACACATCAGGTTTGAATTTAGTGAGAGATACTGAGGAAAAGTGTGTGACGTTGACAAAATGAAGCGCACCTGAAATATGTCTTCTTCTTGACACAATAATTCAGCCATTAGGATCGGACCAAGGGTCTGCAAGAGACAAGACAAACGTGGAGCTGCTGAAAATGTTTGTAGGAAAAAAAAAATGTCTGTATCACATTATAGTGTGATGTTTTAATTAATACAGATGCCAATAAAGAAAAAGTGTATCGACTGTTATACAAATATGTTTTTAATATGTTTGAATTTTTAAATTACAATATGATGAAATCTCCATCACTTAAGCCACAGGTGTCCAAAGTGTGGCCCGAGGGCCATTTACGGCCCTTGGAGTGATTTTGTGCGGCCCACAGCTGCAGTTTAAGAATGGTACCATTTTGGCCAGCAGGCTTAAAAGGTCAATGCAGACTTTCTGCACATTCATTGGTAATTCTTTTTTATATAAAATTTAGGTTTAACAGCAAAACGGATTAAAAACAATATTCTCAAAATGAGCAATATTAAACAAAATACAAACCTTTGGCTATAATAGTTTTATTTTCACTTCATGGTACAAAGTACCAAAAACCTTTACTGATTTCTACCAGGAAGGAGACTTTTGGATGATTCATAAAACTTGGCTAAATGTTGCAGTTGCTAAAATAATCAAGAGGAAAATTGGGCATTTTTAATGAATATAACGTGGTATCATCTACATACGAGTTGATCATCTTTATCAAACCTTCTATGAATCTGTTGTAGCAACTGACAGCTGGATGGTTTTTCAGAACTTTGATCAGCCTTTTTGGCCGTCCATGGTCCAAAATGCTGATCGACCCCATTGACACCGACTCAAATTACGCTTTTGTTGCTGAGAACAGACTAAAATGAATTTTCCAAACACAAGAAAACAACAAACATAGACCCAACAAATCAAATAAATAAAATATTTTCTAATAAAAATATATAAGCTTAAGTTTATGAGGCTTTTAATGTTTTGGATCAGCAACAATTTAAACCTTTCTCCACCAAAACGAGTAAACTTTTGACCTTTCTTCAAATTATTATTCATGTTAAAGTTAAATTCACATTTTTGTGGCCCACAAGTCCTTTCATTTGGATAGTTTTGGCCCACACATGAAAACATTTGGACACCCCTGGCTTAAATCTTTCAACCTTTTTGTTTTTACAAACTGCTAAAAAAAAAATTAAAAACAGTTATAACTTTACTGAACGGCTTCTCTGTGTTACTGTTTCCCTATTAACCCTAATTCATATGTAGTTAGTTAAAGTTTTTATATTTTTTCTTTTAATTTTGCCACCTATTGTTGTTTTCATTTACCTAATAATAAAATATTAAATTTATATAATTTTAAAATGACCTAATTTTGATTTGGTTATATTTTACACTTCAAAACGTTGCCTTCAAAAATGTAATCATAAATAATGGCCCTGTAAGCTAATTTTATATTTGCGCTAATGTTGTATTTTTACTCAAGGAATAAAAGTAAATTAGCATGTAGCACACAACTAATTAAACACACTTTTAAAGCAAAGCATAAACCTTTAATTATTTTACAAATTAAAGCGTTAAAATCTGTTTTGTGTCAGTAGCACAATTCAGTGTCCTGGAAGAATTAACATTTATTTGGGGAAAATGATGAAGATGTAATTTTTTAAAATCTTGCACTACATAATTTTTGTCTCTAGTCGTGTATTTTTATGTAATTTTAGGATAAAGTAGCAAATATAACTGTGTTAAAGGCCAGAGAGAGAGAAAGAGATAATCTGGTTGGCCTTCAGCCCTAACAGTGCTGCTGGCTGCAGTAAATAACAGATTGTGTCGGCTCTAAAGACAAGGCTGTAAGGACCAATCTCTGTTTGTTCCACTTTAAGATATAGCATTTTTATTGTGGCACCAGACTATTACAAGTAGACCTAATGAGATTGCACAGACAAAATCCAGGACTTTTATGTGATATTTCTCATTTTCTGATTATAAGGCAGCTCTAAATCTCCCTGACCCTGACTTAAAGAGGGCATGTCATCAGTCGGTACCTCCCGGTCAAGGATCTTTTCAGCTGACGAGTTCAGGCGGATGTTGTTCTCGTCCAAGTAGAACCATTCCGCATCTTTTCCTAATAGACTCCATCGAAGTCCATTTGGTACTGTAGTGTCGGCCACAAACTCGGCCACGACTTCCCCCGAGGGGCTGTTTTCTTTAACTGTTGCAAATACGTCCCGGCCTTCCAGACATCCGGACCAGCCTGACGTTCCTGAGCAGACGCAGAGTACACAGACAGAGATTTATTTATTCAGTTGAGGAACTTACACAAGTGTTTGAAACACTGTGAAGTGCTTGTACCTGCAGTCGTGCGCAGACGTGAGAAGAGCAGCAAGCAGCAGAACAGAGCCGGTGCAATCAGCTCATGAAGGGCCATTCCTGGACTCGGTTTGACCTCAGGAACCACTTCTCCCTGAGTGAAGAGAGAGATGGAAACGGTGAAGCTACATTACACTTTCCTGAATGGATTGATGCTTTTAAAATACATTGTTTTATATTTCCCTCACAGCCCTTTCTAAGTGGGTTTCTGCAGGGCTTTGCACAGTCTAAACAAGAAAAAGTATTTAAACTATTGTTTTTTTGCTTTTGCTACACGCTTCTTTGACTTCAGTTATTTTACATTCCCTGTATTTATCTGTCATCATTAATCTGTCACTCACACACATCGCTTTGTATTTCTTGGTTATTAAAGGTTGCATTGTATTATTTCTAGGGATGCACGATATTAACGGCATGGCATCGGCTGATATTAGTGATAAAGTTAAATATCGGCCATTCCATCAAAAAACTCACCGATATGAAAGGCTTCTGTTTTAAGTTCATTTTTAATTTAAGAAACTGTCAAGTATATCTATTAAAGCATTACTACTTATGCACTTTTCACTTGTCGCTTGTGAACAGGTTGAGTTTAGATTTGTGAAAATTTACAAATTTGCACTGTTCAAGTGTTGTCATTGTGTTAGAGAGAGTGAATGTCATGAATAAATTTGACTTTAAACATAATCCAAGTTGAAGTGTTTCATCATTTTCAGCACCTTTTTGGCATCTGCATTTGGTAGCAGGTCAAACTGACAAAGACCATGCAGAATAATGTAGTATTTTAATTCCACATCAGAGAAAGCTATGTAGTCTTTGTAAGTAGGTCTAGGGGAAAAAAATATCGGTATTGGTATTGATTATCGGCCAAATAAGTTTTAACATATTGGCATCATGGATATCGGCCAAAAATCCAATATCGTGCATCCCTAATCATTTCTAGTTGGTATTTTACCATAATTTATGTCTTAATAGCTAAAATTCAAACTAAGACGTAATACAGTAGCCTTGTAAACATGTATTAGTCTGACTGTGTTTATCACTCTGCAAAACTCTGCAAACTGTCTGCTCTTGTCAAACTGCTGATTATGGGACAACCAGAAGGCTTTTGCAACAACTACCTCTAAAACATCAAGGCAAAGTGATGATGACAACTGAGTTTGATGCTCTGAGCTCTGCATTGTTTACCCGTCATGAGCTGACTGACCTGTTCTGGTCAAATCCCCTGCAGCCCGTCTGTCAGTCTCCATATCCTCCTGACGTGTGATGAACTGGACATCTTTGATTGTCGAAACGCTGGAAAGCTGATAAATATCATAGGAAGAAAGATTTCCAGGTGCTTTTAGGATTAAACAAGGCGGCAACAAAAGATAACATCACATCCCTCCGATACACACACAAACAAAGCCCCCCCTTTCCTCCCACTCACACACACGACAAACCAGACGACAGCTTATGTGTGTCCTGGGATAAACGTCAGCTCAGAGGCTATAAGCTGAAGGTGGGGCTTTACCTGGTCAAGACTCCAATCAGATTAGAGATGGCAAGAAGTTGACAGGTCGTTCAAAGACGGGTCATAGTTCACTTTATACTCAGCTTGGAAACCCACCTCATCACACCAAATAAAGAATGTCACTTTAAGCAACATAGCCTATACACTTAAAATTTACCACAAGGCACTGTACAGGTTAGAGCTTGTTATAAGAATCAGTCTGTACCTTGGTCACACAGCTCATCTCAGCTGTTCAATTAGCAGTGTGGCAAACTAATGAGACCTGACAAGGGATTAGCTATTGGATGTCTGTTGTTTAACTTGTGAAAATTAACCCACATCCTTTTACCTGCTTGCTGCAGCATGCAGAGGCACACACACACAGAGACAAACACACAAAGACACAAAGCAAAGGAGTCTGTCTGCACATTTCTTTAGGTATTCTGTGATAAAAAGGCTCCTACAGGAAAGCTCAAGAGTCTGACTAAAAGTTGGCATGTGAACAAAAAGCTAAAACATGTGAGATATGTCATTATCTCCCCAGGTTTTGATAAGATGGTAATATGGGTCAAAGGAGATGGATATCTACATGAGGGTCTGTTTCTAGACATGACCACTGGATGTCAGCAAAGACTTGGTAAAAAGATGGGAGATACAGATGCAGATGAATCATTTGGGTCCTTTCCACAAAAAAAAATCTAAAAACAAAATTAAAATAAAAAATAGAAAGAAAATGAAAACACACACACACATAACTGATGCGACTGCTCTGAAAGTTCCAGTTTTGCCTCAGTAGTCCGAGAAACTTCACGCAGAAACATTAGGGCTTATCAACACGCATTTTGGTGAATTCCAGTCTGGCTTTTTGTGTTTCTCTGTCAATAATGAAGTCCTCCTGGGTCTTCTTCTATGGTAAAAATGTGACTGATGGTGACATCAGAAGGTGCCTTTACATTGAAGTTCAGCTTAAATGGTTCTGGATGGTTTCCTTGAATCTTTTTCTACCATCTGCACTATGCATGTGATCAACCTGGGGTTGCATTTTCTCTTGCATCCCTTCCTGGGAGGTTGGCTACAGTCCAGTGAACCTTGTTCTTTTCAATAATATTAGCAGCTGTGGTCAGAGGAGCATGAAGCTGCTTGAAGATGCTCTAGTCTTTACCTTTTAACATGGATATTTATGATCGTCTTTCTGAAATCTTAGACAGATCTCACTTTTGCTTTCTGTGCTTCCTGTCCAGTGTGATGCACACAACCATATCAGACTACCCAGTGGTTTTTTGTTCTTTTTAAATGGGTTGAATGGATGCACATGTGGTAAGAAACACTTAATTTGAAATGAAGATAAATCATATCTTTTGTACCAACAAACTAGTTCATACTATTTTAGCTGGGCTTTGTAAAACAAAAAAATGTTTTTATGTTTGTTTACTCTGTTACATACTAAAGACATGCAGATGTACAAGTTGCTTCTAAGTGAAGCACTCTTAATGAGAAATGAAGCATTGCTTTAAAGAGATCTAAGCGTACCATTAGGTCCAAGTCTTTGGACCATAACAGACATGTAATATGGTTTGTAGCTGATGAGCAACAGTTTGTTTCATGTAATTGGGAATTGTTTTATTTTTTTGTGTGTATGTTGGAAAACGCAGCACGGTGGTGCAACTAGTAGAGCTGCTGCCTCTCAGCGAGCAGGTCCCCGGTTCAAATCCCGGTCCGGAGGCCTTTCTGGGTGGAGTTTGCATGTTCTCTCCGTGCATGCGTGGGTTTTCTCCGGGTATTCCCACAGACCAAAAACATGCATGTTAGACTGATTGGTAACTCTAAATTGTCCCTAGGTGTGAGTGAGAGAGCGAATGGTTGTTTGTCTCGTTTGTCTCTATGTGTCCCTGTGATGGACCTGCGATCCGTCCAGGGTGTACCCCGCCCCGCACACAGTGATTGCTGAACATGGGCACCGGCGACCCCCGTGACCCAAAATGGAGGAAGTGGGTAAAAGATAATGAATGAATGGATTTAGTTTTGCAAACACTCAGTAGTAAACAGCTTCTCTTACATCCCCTCCAAAAAATAATTAAATACATAAATAAATAACATCACAATTTTTCCCATATGTCTGGATTTATCTGAACCACCCCTATTGGCCTTAAAGCATTATGCCCTTCAAAATGGTGCATGCTTAAACACATATACATACCCTCTGCTTACTCTGGAGGCTGTGTGTGTGCGCGTGTGCATGCGTACGTGCGTGTGTGTGTATGGGGGGGCATTTAATTGTTCAGACGAATGAGTCATGGATGAGGTTTTGTTTGGTATGAGGAGTGGAGAGATCTTTGTTCAGATCAGCTCTGTGTGTTGCTGTGTTTGTGCATTCATTCATTCATTGGAAAACATCTGGGTCTTCCCAGCACAATACATCATCAAGACATGGGGGCACATGTGGGTCTTTTTGTGCAAAGAGTTCTGAAGTTAAAAAGGGGGGGGGGGGGGGTGTATATGCACAGTGGGATGTTTCCAACAGCAGTGAAATGTGGCTGTATTTCTCTCCCACCCCCTGGTTTCTCTGTCTGTGCGTGTATTTCTGGCTGCTCCAGCAAAGCTCCCCTCCAGTCTCCAGACCAGGTTTTAGCTGATTACCAGATGAGGGTCTCACAGAAAAGAGGGGGGCATAGTAGCAAAGGAAAAAAAAACATTTCACTTAAATTTCTTTAGAGCGAAAGATGCAAAGAGAGGAGCTGGTGACCTCCTGCACACTGAACACTTTTTGATTTTACAGGCATGTTTTTCCCCCTCGTTAAAAACTCAGCATATCTTTATAATGATTGTAAATGGGTTTGAATTTATAGTGAATTGTGAACCCACAGCCCCTGGGGGGGGGGGGGGGGGGGACTTGTAAGTCAGTGACTGCAGAGAAGTGACGCCCTGCCTGCATCCAGATGTTTTATGTTTCCCCCTGTGCGCTCTTTGGAGAAGTCTGTTTGCCAGAGGAGGAGTAGTGAAATGCTGAGAAATACTGAGGTTTCAGTCCAGATCGCACTAAAATGACTACAAATGCTGTGATTTCTGCATAAATTGTTTGGATTTTGTTGCTCCTGGAGAATGGAGCTGAGGACGGTGCTGCTGCTGCTCAAGTTGCATTTGCTGTGGATCTTTGGGATGTCTCTGCACGCTCACTCTGCTCCAAACCCGGAGAACGGTGAGACCTTGAGTCCGTTTTTCATCATAAATGTGGAAAATTAGATTTAGGCTACAGTTTATTTTTAATTAATACTTTGTACTTTTGTATGACCACTAAAATATTTTTTAATTAAAAACTAAATATGGTCTACATATGTCACATAGAGAGGATACTTTATTCTCTGAAGTGTCACAATTATAACTGCAATGTAAAATAATGTTATTTTACTGTTACTGTGAGGTTTTATACAGATAATGACAATTTACAGTAAAATCAATGGATGTAAGTGAGGTTTTCATTTATTGTAACTTTTTTAAAAACTTTTTTAATTACAATTTAGTTATGTCTGTCAGATTAATTAACACTTTGCTTTGCCATTTTGTCTTGTGATTCACAAATCAGCCATAACATTATGACCGCAGTGAATCATGCATTTCATTTTTTTACAACTGTTCTGCTGGGATAGTGTGTCTGCATGTTACGCTGATATTTTCTCGTCTTTACTTCTTTTCACTAGCCTCCTGTCAGTTTCTGGGTTGAAACTGCACATTTCATAAAATGTCAAATAGTCAGCACAGTGGCTCAGATGATAGAACTGTTGCCTCTCAGTGAGAAGGTCACCAGCTCAAATCCCGGCTGAGTCTTCTCCGGGTGGAGTCTGCATGTTCTCTCCGTGCATGCGTGGGTTTTCTCCAGGTACTTCAGTTTACTCCCACAGACCAAAAACATGCATGTTAGGCTGATTGGTAACTCTAAATTGTCCCTAGGGGTGAATGAGAGAATGAATGTTCTCGTTTGTCCCTATGTGTCCCTGTGATGGACTGGAGACCTGTCCAGGGTGTCCTCCACCTCTCACACAGTGACTGCTGGATATGGGCATCAGTGACCCCATGATCCGGAAAAGAAAAAGCAGGTAAAGATGATAGATGGATAGTTTGGCCCCATGTTCCAACATCAGCTCATCAGTAACAACACTCTGGTCTATCGGTCTCTGTTCGATGCTCCAGGACCCAGAACGAAGCATTATAAGAACATATGCATTTTGTTTTTATCAAATGTTATTTTTTGGGGGGTCATTACATTTTATTTCATATTTTTTACTTTAGTGTATTTTAATATTTTGGGGGACTAAAATGTGAAACACTTTAGGCATCTTCATTTGCTTTCAGACGTGCTTCATGAATAAATTTGACTTCGACACAACCTAAGATCTCTGCAGACCTAAAACACCACCTACAAGGTAACACAACTCCTCTAAAGTAGCAGTTTGAAATGTTTACTTGGCCTCCAAACTCTACCTGAGGCAAACAAACCAAATATGTAGAACACCATTCCCACAATCCCCGGCGGTTTTGTTTACATCGATTTCCGGCTCAACCCCAGATTGTCAGACTGATTGGTGTTTTAAACAAAAACGGAGACTACTGGGTGTTAACAAGGTTTTGACTTTCTGTGTAACAAACAGTGTTTTTTAAATCATGCACGTGGTTTTCAGCTTGCACATCCTGTCAACTGAAATAGATGAATCAGAACATTCATTTTTAGTTTTTCTCCCCACAATTAAATATTTGCTGCATTTTATGAGAAGCAGATTGTTCAGACTGAAAGTACCATGAAGGTTTAAGATTTGTGAGGCCGACATGAGTGACAGACGATTATTTTCTTTCTCTGAGTTCTTCTTAAGAATTAGTGCTTGGATCAAAACCCAGAGCAGCGGGTCATCATCATGCCTTCATACTGTATGAATGGGTTTAATTTTACTCTGTTTTTATCTCTTTTCCAGTAATTGACCTGTTAGCGGCCCTAAACATATCCCAGCACAGAAGCGGTGTGTCCAGGCTGCAGACTCCCAACAGCACGATGTATAAAATCCGTCCCAGAGCAGCTCACCTGATCCTCCCTCAGGAATATTCCCGTTACCTTCACTCCAGCTTTCGGGGCAGCATCGGGGTGCATTTGGTGGGACGTCAGGCACTGAGATCCAGTGCCACCATTTTGTCTCTCTCCTCTACATCCTCACCCATCCTCCAGATCATTTCCTCCTCCCTCGACAACACCCTGCATTTGGACTTATCTGGAGGAAGAGCTCCTGCCAGTTTTTTCTTTCCAAGAAGGAATCCTCTCTCTGGGGGGCAATGGGTCCAGCTGGCTGTGAGCCTGGAGCCGGACAAACTGGTGTTTTTTGTTGAGTGTCAAGAAGCTGTCGTTGTACGGATAAAAAGTGAAAACGGGGTCAACTTGGAGGTTCCTCAAGATGTCATCGTTGCTCTTGCCAGCACTCCAAAAAGAAATGAGAGCAAATTTAATGTGAGTTTCTCGTGTGGAAAACACAGACATGCATTCCTGATGAAGAATAATAACAGTAGATTATAGTTAATTTAAGACAATAATTGTTTATTGAAGTAATTAAATCACTTTTATATAAATTTCATTACATTTCGTCAGTTAAAACCTATTGCATTTAACTCTTACTTTTTTGTCTTTTAGGAAATAATCAATAATTAAAGCTGAAGTTTGTTAAAGAAGCTGAAACTGGGTTACCCTAAAATAAATAAGACAGTAGCTAAAAGCTACCTAAAAGATAAAACCAGCCAAAGGCTAGCTAAAAGTATCAAACCACTATAGCTAAAAGCAACAAACTGTCAACTATTGGCTCGAATTAGCTAAATGCTAGCTGAAAGCTGCAAAAGCTAGCTTTAAAGTAGCAAAATATTAGCTAAAAACTGAAAGTTGTAAAATAAATAAATAAAAAGCCAAAAGCAGGAAAATACTATTCAAATAGTTAAATACTAAAAGTAGCTCAAGAATATAAAAAATAGAATATGATGAAGCAGGTTTCAAAGAGAACCACAAAAGTTTAGTTAAAAGGTAAAATGAGCAAAATCTAAAACAGCAAAAACTAACTAAAAGTTTGAGTAGCAACATGCTAGCTAAAAGTGTGCTAGCTATAAGCTATAGTAGCAATAGGCTAGCTATAAGCTATAGTAGCAATAGGCTAGCTATAAGAAGCAGGATGATAACTAAAAAGTAAAAGTAGCTTAAGAAGACAAAAATAGAGCCAGTTTAAAAGAAAACTATGATTTTGAAGAAATGGAAGAGATCTAAATGAATTTCTATGAACAATATATTTGTAAATAAATTATTTAGAAATATGCAAAAGTTACAAAAAGCATGTCTTGGCACCTTCTCTTGAATCAGCTGAACACTTTGACATGAATGGCTCAAATAGTACAAAGAATGTAGAAATAATTTGATTGCAAAAAGCCTACAGAAAAGAAAAAAAAAAAAAAAGAAAATAACTTCGCAATAAAACAATAAAAGTCAAATATCAGCATCACAAGACATAAAATACAGTTTTGTCAAAATGTGTGGAAATGGCTTCACATGTTCTGCTTCTGTTGTGTGTTTTTATTCAGGGATATCTGAAGACAGCCGAATTATCTCTGAAGGGATATATGAGGCGACCATGGCGCTGTGACAACATCACAGGTGGGAATAAAAAGGTTATTTATAAATAGTCATCAAAATCTTTTTATAAGTTGTAAACGTTGACTATTATTGCAGTAAAATTATCCTTTTTCACGTTTTGCACCAGTCTCCCATATTTACTCATCATAGCGTGTTTTATTTGGAGTGCTGCACGACAACAATCTCTCTAGACGACGAACAATTAAATAATCCAATAAAAATATTCTTATTAACTTTGTCTGTAGTTCAAGGGTATGATGTCTTAATTCAACGAGTTAAAAGACCAGAACTTTTGGCCCAAAGCATAAAACCTCCTCAGTGTTTGTTATTTCTCTGCGTGGGTCTTCATTTAGACACAGATCTCCAGGATGTTTGTTCAAAATCAAGTTATTTCAACTAAATAAAATAAATATCTCTCTTTGTCTCCTTCAGATGATCTTCCAGGGACTCATTACAACCGTCCAAGCTCTCCGACTGACACCAGTCAAAGGTTTCATCACGATGCATCACTCAGTGAACTTCAGTCAATCCACCAAAGCAGCCGTTATCCCAAGAACATCCAGAGCGACCGGCAGCAGAGAGCAGCAGCACTGGGGCCTCCCGGAGCTCCTCAGGGAGTGAAATGTGTCTCTCAGATACAGACGGACGACAGGCTGGACAAGCTGGAGAAGAAGTTGGAGGAGCTGAGCCGTATGCTGGACATGGTCAAAGCTCAGGTAATGATCACTCCTGAGATTTATATTTCATGAAGCTTTTAAAAATGAAACATACGATTTAGTTTTGGTCTGAAACAGAATGCAGACCTGCAGTCCCGTGTGACATACCTGGAGGGATGTGAGTGTGTGAAGCAGGGATGCGTTTGGGACGGGCGTGGAGTGGAGGATGGGCGCCGCTGGCAGATTGACCTCAACACTGTGTGTTCCTGCACATCTGGAGAGGTTACGTGTCAAACTACCGGCGAGCGTGAAGGTCATTCAACCTCTCTGTGTTTTCTTCCTGCACACTCCCAGACAACTTATGCTGACACTGACTCATCTGATGTTGAGCTACCTGTTTACAGAAATTTACTTCTTTTAGAAAAACAACCAGTTAACTAGTTGTCAAAATGGAGACACATGTTTAGTTTTACCTCTTGTTCTGCTGGGTCTCTTTGCTTCTGTTCCTCCAAAACTGAAAGAACGTCACTGATGGATTTGAATGATTCTAGCAGTATTAAAACAACTTTTGCAAGAGGTTGTAAAAATGAAATCCATTCAGTAACTGCAACTCAGTTATTGTTTTCATGCTGACATCCTAAACCAAAGCATGGGAGGATGGTCATTTTTTATGGTTTAACTTAAAGGAGTTCATCTAATCAACTCTATGAGGTGGAGACAGCACAAAAGGTTCTGAGGACATCTAGAGGCAGAGACAGGTATCTGAAAAAACAAACTACACAAAGAGGATTTGAGAAGAAATACATATTACCAAGAAAATTCAATGAAATTGTCAACAAAATCGAGCAGCAACAGAACAAAATCTCATTATCAATTAAAGACCAAGCAATCCTTGGAGGCATGCATGTCACCCGCTTCAAAGGAAAGGAAAAAGGACTAAGTTATTTTATTTTATTAACCACAAGAGCTGTTAATGTTGAGGATGTCTCAAGGTCAAAGTTTCTTTATTGTCATTCGTACCACATGTGGTACATGTGGTGGAACGACATTGTGTACATTGGTCCCAGTTACATCCAACAAAAGTATAAATTATAAAGAAAAACAGTAATAAAATCTAAAATATGAACAAAAAAAACCCGCTAAACTCTCAGATACTACCACATCAAACTTCTCAGATTCTGTTAATCTGACTGAGTTATAGCCATTTGTGTGTTGGCTAAGGTCGGTTGTCTGGTAGCCGGGGCTTAATTTGAGCCGGATCTTGCCAGAACAGAATCCGGGAACTCTTATTTTGACAGGGCGCGTTCTGGTAACTGTTTGCTTGGATCTGGTAACTCTCAGGCTTACTAATAATAAAGTTACAAACAAATATGACTGCCTTGAACAAATAGAACTTATATTGGATATATAAACTGAAAATAATTACATAAACACTAATATTCAACACAACAGCCACTTACGAGCTTCTTAATTTCACATGCGTGCCCTTTCAAGTAAGCATTTCTGCCTCTACCCTTAGTCAAAGTCATCATGCAATTTTATGAAAAAAAAACCTCAATAATATATTAAACAGCACAATGAAATTGCAAATCTGTTCGACAGTTTAAGTGAGTCATTAGTAAAAATATGATTATTAAAAATACGAGAGAAATGTTTCATGTGTGTTATCCACATTACGTATCAACACAACAGCACTGATTTGTCAAAATAATAGCAGCTAGGATGTTTGACAGAAGCAGAGTATTTACAAATGTAGGTAAACAGATGTTTAACAACCTGTTAAAATACACCAAAATGCAGGAAATCACATCTACTTTATTCAAATTTTGGGGGGGAGGACCCCCAGACACCCCCCTCCCAGCCCAACCCTATTTGCTTTTTTGATTAGTTTACAAATTAAGCCCTGCTGGTAGCCTTCTTGAATTGATACATCTAATTTTATAAGTTTCATTCAAATTTAACCAGCAGTTTATACAATATTTTCCTAACACAAACGAACACATGCATACACTTGCACAGCCACACAGTTTTCACCCATTTTCCTTCCGCAGCAGGCGACCATGTACTCTGTACTCAGGAAACTTGAAGCTTTTTGCCTCCTGAGGTGAAAACCGTGTCTGTCAGTAGAAACATTATGTTGGACTGTAGTTGACGTTGGAACATAATTCCCATCTTTCTTTCTTTCACACAAACACTCAAACAAAACTACAACTTTGTCATGTTCTACTTACTGTGTAGATTTTTGGGATCAGAGTGACACGAGTGTATTCCATCATTAATCATCTTACTGTTAACTGGTCAAAAGTCTCTGGTGGCACCAAATGGCTGCACACTTACAGAGTCTTCCCTCACACACACACACACACGCACGTTCTTGTAAACATATTTTTTGGGGACTCTGCATTGACTTCCATGCATTTTCTATAACCTAACCCTGACCTTTACCCTAAACCTAACCATTACTAGTACATGCCTAATCCTAATCCATCCACAATTCACACCTTAGTCCTAAATCTAACCCCTAACCCCCAACGAGACTTATCTTTATGGCGATCTGGCTTTGGGCCCCATAAAGAACAGTTGGTTCCCACAATGCATGATTTTTTTTGTAAAACTGGTCCCTACAAGGTAACCTGAAACAAAAAAGCACACACACACACACACATACATACACACACACACACACACACACTTTGATCTCTTGCATGCTTAGCTTGCTGTAGGGAATGCCCGTTAGCTGTTGGCACAGTGGGCAGCCTCTCTGGCTCATCTCTACCTCTGTGATCACTGCCGTCTCTCATGCACTCTGTCCTCTGGAGAGCTGTCATTAAAGTCATTATCTGCTGAAACGTGCACGCTGAGTGAAAATGACATCTGATGAGCACTTTGATGTGCTGGAATCATGTTTGTTTCATCAAAATGATCTTGTCAACTAGAATTATTAGAGCCATGACCATATCTCTTTCACGGAGGATCCTTGCCATCAGTAGACTTCTCGTGTTTATAGACGGTGCAACCTTTCTTTGATAGTCATGACATCTGGAAGTCTGCAGACACTTCTGGTTATGGTTACAGTCCATAAAAGGTGCGTGTGAAAACAAGCATCGGAGTCATGCTGTTCTGTCATTACTGGCAAGAAAGCTGAGCCAGATGTTTCCCAGCAGACTGAGAATGCAACAAGGAAAATCTGTGGAGGCAACCAGAAAGGACAAAAGCCAGTGGCTGCAATCATTTCACATTCTTACTCTCGTTGTGTACACCAGCCAACAGTTTATAGGTGGAAGCACAGAAGATGTGAAATGTAAAAGCATTAAATGATGTGACTTCTGTTCAGGGTGTGATCTGGATGGTAGAGTGCACAATGTGTCCTACAGCACTCTGGATGGTTGTCAGACGTGTACATGTAAGGTAAGATTTTGACATTGAGCGTAAAAATAAAGCTGACTTTATTCTGTCATGTTTTTTTTAAATAATTGCGTGTGCTTTGTGTATGCTCTGTGGTAGGAGGGTATCAGAGAGTGCTCCCCCCTGCCATGCCCTTCATTAGACTGCACACAGAGGGAAGCAGTACCTGGAGACTGCTGCCAGCACTGCAGAGGTCAGGTCACAAAGAAAAAAGAGACAAATTATTCCATTTATTTTGTCACGTGATGTTTTAGTCATTTATTTCTTTTATTAAAAAAATATTTAAACCTTTATTTTACCAGGAAAGAAACCCATTGAGATTATTGATCTTTTTTACAAGGATATCCTGGGCAATGTGCAAGGTGCAAATAAGCCATTACATTTACAGCAACAGTACAATAACAGTAACATTAATATTAATATATTTACTGCAAAACATAAAATACAATGCAAGTTTAAAAAATATCACAATTTGAGACACTTTTAAATGTTACAGGTGCAAGATGTGACTAAAACCTCTGACATGGTCTCCAACCTCAACTTAAGCTGCAGATCTTTTTTTTTTTTTTAATGATTAACATTTCATTGCTATTTGAAGCATCCCTCTGGTTAAAAACATGTCTTTTTGTGCATTTAACAAAAGAAATCTAAAAAAAAATTTGACAATTTAAATAAATAAATCTACAGACGGGAGTTGTAGTAGTCATGTCTGAAACTGACAGCACTTAGCTACAAACAGACTAAATAGTTTTTTACCTGTCTGCAACAAGAAAAATCTATCTATGCATATGATATAGTGCTAATCATGGAAAACAATTTCATTGGCTCGTTTCAGTGGTACTGAGCCACATTTGTTAAAGCAACCACATTAACTTTATTGAAAATGTAACATTATTAACATGTTTTAATATTCAAAACATAAGCAAAACACATTACTTTACTGGGTGGAGTGAAACATGCTGTCAAACCTTGGTTTATTCCCCACTCAGCCTGATTACATTACTTGTTTAATGTTATGTGGAATCTCATTCTATAATGTGAAATCTCACTAGATCTGTTAAGTCCTCAGAGTATGTATTGAGGACGACTCTCATCTACCACCACTTCAAACTTGAGCTCTGTGTCTGTAAATGTGACTGAGGTGTAGCTATTTTTGTCTTGGATGAGCTTCTTCAGCAGTGCCGGACATTTTGAATTAGATGGATTCAAAAAGCTATACAGCTGTCGATGTACGTTAAATAATTATTTTTTTGACATTTAAAATTGTCTAGTGATTCATGAGATGTTTTGTTAACGGACAAATTCGACTCCAAACAGTTAATGGCAGTAGTGAAGAACATTTTGGTGTCAGCAGAGGGCACTAATGTAACAACAAAACACGACTTCCTTGGACGGAGGGGAGCTCATTAAATTGTATTATTTTATTAAATTGAGCTTCTGACCATGTAAAGTTTGTGTTTGCAGCTTGCACCCACTCCGGCGTCAGGTACGATCACGGCGCCAGGTGGAGGCCCGCAGAGAGCCCCTGTGAGGTCTGCTCCTGTTTGGTGGGTTTTCCTCACAGCCGTGTGTTGGTCTCTCCCTTCATCTGTACTGATCCTGCTCTCTTCTCTCAACAGGAGGGTCGTGTTCACTGTGACAAGGAGAAATGCACTCCCCCAGGTAAAAGCCCTGCTGCTCCTCCACCTGACAGCTGCTGTCCAGTCTGTCAGGGTGGGCCTTCCTGTTTATTCTGCAGCAAGGTGTAGTAAACAGATTAAATATTTCTGTGTTTTGTAGGCTGTGATGTGAATGGACACGATTTCCCTAACGGAGCTGTAATCCCTTCACGGGACCACTGTCAGGAGTGCACATGTGTGGTGTGTTTATCAGAGTTCATGGCTCACGGCTTTAACACACTAATAAACACAATTAATGAGGAATATGTTTGGTTTTGTTTCTTCCCAGAATGGAAATGTGATGTGCTCACCTCTCCGATGTCCTGTCCTGTCTTGTCCCAACCCTGTGCATCATGCTGGAGACTGTTGCCCACGGTAACAAGCATCCTCACCTCATCTATATCACTTTATTCAATGATTTGAAATGTTTAAATGACAAAAAGTCACACCTTTTCTTTTTCTTACATTTATGATTTTGTAGATGTGAGCAGTGTGAATATGAGTCAGAAGTGTACGCAAACGGTGAAAAGTTCTCATCCAGGACTGACCCCTGTCTCCAGTGCCTCTGCTCTGTGAGTGGCAAGAAGATTTTGTCATAAAATGTTAACAAAACTGGAAATATAAACTTTTTTTTAAATCGAAAACAGAAGAGGTACTCTGAAAAACAAAAACTGTAACAGAGTTGAACGTTTGGAATAATTTAAAGCTCCTTTTTGATATATAAAAAAATCAACAATTGACATTTTGAAGTTTTTAAAGATGGTAGCAGTGCACGTTACATACCTGGTGGTTCAACTTTCAACATTTCAATACTCCCTTTCTCTCAGCAGCAATGTGATGCTTCATGAAAAATGTTGAGTTAAATTTAACGTCTGACAGCTCCTTTAAACATGAAACATTTGATCCCGTCTCTGCTCTTTGGGTCAGGACAGTGAAGTTTCCTGTGAGCGGATGGACGCCTCGTGTCCCACACCACGCTGTAAACATCCAGCCAAGCGCAAAGGAGAGTGCTGTCCCACATGCAGAGGTGAGGAAACATGTGCTTTTGTCAATTTTACATCTTGGGTTCAAGCATCACTGCTTAGTCTGAAACTGAGAAATAAAAAATCTGAGTTTGTGTCTGCAGAGTGTGAGTTCGACAGAAGGGTGTATGCTGATGGTAAAGTGTTTGCCCCTGCTGGGAGTGGACCCTGCCTCCAGTGCAGGTGTAAGGCAAGTCTGTGCAACATGTTGTGGCTAAACATGTGAGACAAGAAGAAAGAAAAACTTTGATGCATTTAATTTTCAAATTAAATAATTAGGGGTTGAGACAGCTGCTGGTAATGAAGAGAAAAAGAGCAATATTAATAATCAAAATCTTTTGTAAAATCATTGTCACACAAAGACACCAGCTTGCTTCAGTGCAGAGCGTTGAAGAGGACAGTTTAGATTGGTCTAAAAATGTGGTCAGACATATTTTACACAACTTTGAGATCACTAGAATCTTATTTTGCATCTAAACTGGACACGCATAAAGATAATTGTAAAACTGTAGAGTTTTGTTTCTGCAAAAATGCAGTGATTACTGAATTATTTTGCTGCAACCTGTTGAAGAAGCTTTAAATTTGAATATTGAAAGTAAAATGAGCAGAATGAACACTAAATGAATAACAACATTCAAAAGAGAAGAACAAATGAATAAAATTAGCAACACACTAGCTAAAAGCTGAAAAAGAAAGCTAAAAGCTAAAATTAGCATAACAGTAGTTGAAGTTCAAACTATAAGTTCAAACAAGCAGAAACTTAGTTTATCACGACTAAAATCTAAAATGAAACAAAGTGAACCTAAAGGTTTAACATAACAAAATTTTAGTTAAAAGTTAAAATTAGCAAAACTATAGCTAAAAACTAAAATTAGCTAAATTGCAGCAAAAGGCTAAAATTAGCTAAATCAAACCTGAAAGCTATAATTGGAGCACAGGAAGAAAAACAGCAAGAATTGTCTGCTGAAGAAGATTTCAGAGAACAATGTACTGAAGAAATGAGAGAAATCTCAAAGAGAAGTTTAATAAACAAAGATGAATATTTTGAAAAGTATGAAAGTTTTTTTTTTTAAGTGTCAGAGCACACTACTGAAAGAGCAGACATTTTTGATATTTAAATGTATAAAGGTTTCAGATTTATAATCTGGGCTTTAAATAAATAAATAAAAACCCTAAAGCTAACACCTGAAAATACATTTTATTTTAAACATAATGTATTTATTTGGATTTAAATGTCTCTGATTCAGGCTGGAAATGTAATTTGCCATGAAGAGAAATGCCCTCCGGTTCTGTGCTCTAACCCTATTAATGACCCGCATCTTTGTTGTCCAACCTGCAAAGGTAATTATGAACACACACACACACACACACACACACATGCAGCTGCACTTCATCAGTATCTAACCTGTGGCAACACCCCACCTTGCTGCAGCCTGTGTGTTGGAGGGGTTGGAATATGAAGAAGGCTCCACCTGGCAACCTGAGGGCCCGTGCTCCAGCTGCACCTGTGTGAATGGAGACATCAAATGCACACACATGCAGTGCCCCCCCTTCAACTGTCTGCACCCCAGCAAGATTACAGGTAAGTCTTTGTATATATGTGTGTGTGTGTCTATGTATGTGTCCATGTGTGGTTGTTTTCTTTTGTATGCAAACAGTTGCACTGTCTGTTTCCTTCCATGAGGTTCCTGTTGTGAAGTGTGTGATAGCTGCACTTATAACCATCGTATCTATAGCAACGGACAGAGGTTTACCACTCCTGACAAGCCATGCCACATCTGCACCTGCCTGGTGGGTGTGTCTCTGCTCACACACACACTCGACCTCTCACCTTCACAACTAACGTATATCTTCACCACCTCCTCAGCATGGGACTGTTGAGTGTGAGAGACAAACTTGTCCGCAACTCAACTGCTCCAACTCTTACCCCCTGCCTGGAGAGTGCTGCCCTAAATGTCCAGGTATGGCTCCTCGGATAGTGTGAAATATCAATCTGCAATGTGTTGATCATCAGAGATGTTCATTGTTTTTATTTTTGACAGACTGCTCTTTTGAAAACCGCATATTTGTGGATGGAGAGGCTTTTCCTAATCCTGTGAGTGTGTGTGAGGAGTGCAGGTGTGTGAGCGGAAGGATTGACTGCCACCAAGCTCAATGTCCTCGTCCTCACTGTAATGCCCCTCTGCCTGGAACATGCTGCCACAACAACTGCAATGGTGAGAAAATACTAAACTATCATCAGCAAACTAAAATATATCCTCAATAGTCAATACTTTCTACTTTCTTTTAGGCTGCAGTTATGCTGGGAAGGAGTATCCTAACGGGCAGGACTTTCACCATCCAACTGACCACTGCAGGACATGCAGCTGCATCGTGAGAATGGACACACAGCTCGTTCTGTGCCCAACACCTGTCGTTGTCTTTGTTTTTATTTCTGTCTGTGTTTCTGTGTTTTACAGAACGGGAATGTCCAGTGTTTAAAGAAGAGGTGTCCACCTCTGTCATGCTCCAACCCATATATTCTCCCAGGAGACTGCTGCCCCCAGTGTCCAGGTGACGATGTGATGGGAAAAGAGCGGCTAATAAAAAACAATTACTAATTCACTCCTCATACAAGACGTGTTAGCATTCAGACTATGTGTTGGGGATGATGCTCAGCTTCTACCAAATCAAATTTTAGCCCAGTTTTAGTATTTTCTTCTAAATTGTTGCCACTTTGGCATTAGCTAAGGTCAATTACCTGTGGTTGTCATCTTGAGCTGGGTTGACTCCAAAAGGCAATCAGTTGTAGTTTAACAACTAGATTATTATTTTATAAGAGTTTCATTAAAATTCATATTTAGTGCTTCATCAGATACATTGCTGGCTTGACAAACAAACACAGACAAGCCTCCCTTCAAAACCCAAAATAAAAATACATTTTAAACAATTATGATCTTTAAAATTACCGTAACTTTTATATTTCACCAAAAGTACCTTCTTCTTTCGGCTTTTCCCTCTTCGTCGTCGTCCTCCTCCATCTCACTCTGTCCTCTGCATCCTCCATTCTCACTCCAACTACCTCCATGTCATCTCTGCATCCATATCTCTCCTTTTTGTCTTTTTCCTGGCAGCTGCATTTCTAACATCCTTCTACCAATATAAACACTGTCCCTCCTCTGGACATGTCCAAACCATCTCAGTCTGGCCTCTCTATTATCTCCCAGTTGTTCAATCTGTGCTGTACCTCTGATGATCTCATTCCTAATCTTACTACTATTTTATCTTCTCTAACAAAGTTGAGTCAGGTCATCTGGAAGGGTTCATCTTTCTTCAAACATTTGGTCTTTCACCCAAATGACTTCTTCAGTCTGAGGAGCTGCAGCAAACTCAGTCTTATAAATAACACCTTCTCACAGTGCAGGGGTATCAAACCCACTTACAAAAAGTTAAAACCTTTTTCAAAGTAAGGACCGGTTTCAGAATCTACATTAATTCAAGTTAGATACCAAACATCTTTGCTTGTTTGCAGGTTCCTCAACAAGAGTTTGATTAGTCTCATTTGATGTTCTCTATTGCACTTTTGACATCATAATCAAATATTACTGAAAAAAAGTGATAAAAGTATTTTACATTTAAAATAACATTTTGGGGGGCAGATAAGATGCTAACGAAGGCCACATTTGGCCCCTGGTCCTTGACTTTGCCACATATGTTGTAGTGGATCAGCCAGTTTGCTGCTGACAACCAAAACAGCTGTTCACATGCAAAAGGAGAACTATCAGCCTAACAACCGATCATTAGTGCCCTGATGGCCGCTTTCTATTCCCAGAGGGCTCAGTGATGCAATAACATCATTGTAAGAGGGGGACAGTTGAACACGGAGGCCTCCACCCCTGTTTAATGATGGACGGTTTCTCTTTACAAAGATGGCCTCCTTCGCTCCTCTCGCCAACCATCATTCCTCTCTATCAAGGATGTGAACGTCTTCATCCCTGAACGAGTGACTGCTGTCCTGCAGATGAGTGTAGACTGCAGTGTCCTGGCCTGATGATGTTACTCTTCTGGGCCATCCTTTTGGTCAGTAGTTGCTTTTCCCCCGATGTAAGATCTGAAGAGTTTTGACCATCACCAGCAAACTGGTTGATCCACTATGGGAAGGTGCTGCTTATAAGACTGAGTTTGTTGCAGCTCCTCAGACTGAAGAATTCTTCTGGATACAAGATGAATTGTTTCAAGAAGAACCTGTCCAGATGACCTGACTCAACCTTGTTAGAATTGCCTACCTCTTTGAGCATGCATCAGGCCATTTTATATTCTCCTTCTGCATCTCATAAGATGTATGTATAAGCTAAACTGGATTGTTTTGTTGTTGCTTATTTTCCTGCTCCTTCAGATCCTCCAGCAGACTGTGTGTTCGAGCAGAGGCCTTACAGACACACAGAGCATTTCTACCACCCGTCCGACAGCTGTCGAACATGTTTGTGCATCAACGGGTCAGTTCACTGTCAGCACAAGCCCTGCCCTTTTGCTCCGTGCTCTCACCCCATCACACAGGAGTGTTGCCGGACGTGCGACGGTACAGGTTCACACATCCTTGCACAACAACCTAAAGATAAAACAATGTTGATACTTTAAAACCTTTTCTTGCTGCACGTGTGTCGTCTTTCTTGCAGGCTGTTGGCACGAAAGCAGAGAGCGAGCTAACGGGGAGACATGGGATGATTTGTCAGACCCATGTGCTGTGTGCGTTTGTCGTGAAGGCTCTGTCCAGTGTGAGAGGAAACTTTGTCCACCGTCCAACTGTAACCACCCAGTGCAGAGACAATGCTGCATGTCCTGTGATGGTGAGCAAATGAAGCGCCCACCAGTAATTACAACCCTGATGCTGAAAAAGTTGTGACGTTGTGTAAAATGTAAATAAAACAGAATGCAAATCTCATAATATTTTGTTCACAATGTAACCAAATGTTTAAACTAATCTTAAATTTTTGAAACAGGGCCTCGTTTAACTCCTTCTTTTACAACAGCCTGTAAACATCTGGAGCTGAGGAGACCAGTAGCTAGAGGTTTTAGAGAGGAATGGTGTCCCATTTCTGTCTAATAAGATTCTAGCTGTTCAAGGATTCAAGGTTCTTTATTTGTCAGTCGCACCACATGTGGTTCATGTGGTGGAACAAAATTGTGTACACAGGGTCCCTGTTACATCCAACAAAGTATTAAAATGTAACAGAAAAACAGTAATAAGATCTAAGATATGAACTAAGAAAAACGTTAACTAAAAACACAATAAGCACTAATAGCATAAAAAATAAAAACAATACGCCAAACAGCGGCACGAACATGAGTCTGAGTGAGCTGATGAGTATGAATGAACACAGCAGCATGAAACAGATCAGCAGCAACATGATGTGATTTTTCACAGTGATTATTCTGGTTAGATATTCATGAGTCTAACAGCTGCAGGGTAGAAGCTGTTCTTCAGTCTAGTGGTTCTGCACTTAATGCTTCTTAACCTCCTGCCTGAGGGGAGTGGGGCAAAAAGTGTGTGTGCTGGGTGAGTGGGGTCCTTCATGATGCAGGTGACCCTCTTCCTGCATCTTGAGGTGTAAATGTCTGTGATGGTGGGTCTTTTTTTACTGAACTATTTTCATTTCATGATGTGTCAAATGTATTGGAGTGGAGACAGATCTGGACTGCAGGCAGGATAGTTCAGCTCCAAGTCTCTTATACTACAAAGCCATGGCATGGAGGCAATATGTATTCTAGTATTGTCTTGCTGAAATATGAAAGGCCTTCCATGAAAATACTTTTGGCTGTGATCCTACGGTGTTATACAACCTGTAAACACTTTTCTATATGGACAGTGCTGTTCCAAATGTGTAAACTGCTCATGCCATAAGCACTAATCAACACTTTGACCAAAGGTGTTGTTTTTAAAGCGCTTTATAAATAAAGTTGTATTGTATTGTTCTAATGCACCCCTATGCCACTGGAAAACATTTGAACTGTGAGCTGATAAAAGTCTGTGTCCTCTTCTGTGTTGATGGTGTAGCATTTGTAGTTTCAAAACAGAATTTCTAATTTTGATTCGTCTGACCACAGAACAGTTTTTCACTTTTTAAGTGAGATGTGGCCAAGAGAAAAGCAAGGGATTTTTAAATGGCGTTCATATACGGCTTTTTGCATGATAGAGCTTTAGCCAGCATTTATGGATGGCACATAGAACTGTGTGAAAATATTTCTGAGCCCATGTACTGATGTCCAAAACAGACTTGTTTTTATTGCAGTGCTGCCTGACCCCCATTCAATTTCAACCTTGTCCTTTAAGCACAGAGATTTCTCCAGATTCTTAAAATCTCATTATTACTCTGTCTACTGAACATATGAACTGTATGATTGTATATTCTAGGAATATTGTCTGTACTTTATATGTTCTGTCTGGAACAGGCCCCTCTTGCAAATGAGTCCCCATGGCTCAATGAGGCTATGGCCTGTATAAATAAAGATTGAATGGAAAAGGAACATTATTTTGAAATTGTTCCACTATTTTTAGTTTTTCACAGACTTGTGAACCTCTGCCCATCTTTACTTCTGAGAGATCCAGCTTCTCTAAAATGCTCTTTTTATGTTCAGTCCTCTTACGGACCTGTTGCCATTTAACCTAATTAGAATCAAAAATGCTCCTGCAGCTGTTTCTTGTCTTAGTCTTTGGTTATTCATGTTCCATTTCATTGAGAATGGTTTTATTTTTGCCACTAAATTCCAAATTACCTATTCTGTTCCCATAAAACGACTTTTTTAGTTTAAACATTTTACATGTTAAGCATGGCTCATTGGGAATAAAATATGAGTCTATAAGATTTGCATGTCTTTGGATTTTGTTTTTATTTGCATTTTACAAAGCAGTTTTTATGAATGGGGATTGTAGTCTTATCAGAATAAGCAGCTTCTAGAAAAGTCTTCTAATTTTCTTCTTCTTCTTGCAGGCTGCTCATTTCATGGTAGAGAAATTCCTGATGGCACTGAGGTTGGTGACGACAAAGACCCCTGCAGCGTGTGTTACTGTTACAGAGGTGACATCATCTGCACCAAGTTAGCGTGTTATGGAGATTGTAATCACCCATACAAACCACCTGGACAATGTTGTGGAGAATGTGAACGTATGTTTTGTTAAAATCTAATTCTGGTTTCAAACTTTAATGAACTCCAAAATGATCCAATAAACCTGCTTTTATTTGTCAGGCTGCTTCTACAACAATGTGGTCCTCCTCAGTGGACAATCCATCACGGACCCAGGGGACCCCTGCTCTGAATGTGTCTGCCAGGTACCGTCAGCACTAACAGAGTCCATCCATCCATCCCTTCATTATCTCTACCCACTTTTTCCTTTCTGTGTCACTGGGAGCAGGTGTCTATCACCTGTGATCACTGTGTGAGAGGCTGGGTACGCCTTGGACAGGTCGCACATCCATCACAGTCACACAGGGACAAACAACCACTCACACTCTCACTCATGCCAAGTGACAATTTAGGGTTACTAATGAACTTAACATGCTTGTCTGTGGTAGAAAACAGCAGCTTTTAAAAAAAGAAAACACTTGTACACGAGGCAAACATACAAATTCCACTCAGAAAGGCTTGGAGGCAAACCTGTAAACTTCACAATAGGAGGCAACAGCTTAAACTTCTGTGCCATCATATCCTGTTATTTAGTTTCTTTATTTTAACGCTCATTTCTCTTAGAGCGGCTCAGTTCGATGTGTGAGGAAGTCGTGTCCTGCAGCTCTCTGTCCTCACCCAGTCACCGACCCATGTGGCTGCCCTGCCTGTGATGGTAACCACCTCACAACACATCACAGCTCAGGTTTCTAAGAGTTGTTAAGTAACTGATTCCTCCATATGTCTGAGCAGGTTGTTACTTCCAGGGCGTGATTTATGCTGATGGGCAGATCCTCCAAGGAGGAGAACAAAGGTGCCAGGACTGTACATGCTCAGTGAGTGAAAGATTTGTGTAAGGGATTCATCGTACTAATTCAACCCAGCCCTCTTTAACACCTTATCTTCTTTACTCTGTAGAGAGGTGAGGTGGTGTGTGCCCAGAGAACGTGTCCCGCTGTGTCCTGCTCCCACCCGGCTCTGGACGTCTGTGCATGTGAAGTGTGTGATGGGTGTAACTTTAACGGACGGGACTGTTTCAACGGAGAGCGATTCCAGCATCCTGAAGACCGTTGTCAGCTCTGCTCATGTTTGGTAACGTCAGACTAATTGCTTTAGGGAAAAGAGATTTAATTTTAATTTTAGAAATTTATTCATTTCATTAAAAACAAAATAACTATATTCAACAGAAAACAAAAAATATGTGTACAATCAAAAATAAAATGAAAGGCAGCAGAAGAATGAATCTTATGATATCTGCCCCTTTTTGCTCAGAATATATTCAAACAAAAGTAATTTACAAAAAAACAAAAAACTAAGCTAAATAAAAACAACATCAATTCAAACAAAATTTGTATAGATACGCATTATACTTTTTCATATGCCTTCAGAAAATTTACTTTTAACATTTTCTTGAATATGTACAGAGATCTGGCAGTTTTAACATCATCCTTCAGACCATTCCACAATCCTGTTCCCTGAATTGTAGTAGACCGCTCCCTCAAACTGGTACAAAACCACGGCTTCACAAACATCTCTATTCCCTTAAGATAATAACCACTCTCCCTTTTAACAAAATGTACTTGAATATTAGAAGGCAGTATGTTTTTGTGAACCTTATACATAAACAGTAAAATATTATAATCAACCAAGTCATAGAATGTTAATACCTTCAGATGATAAAACAATGTATTTGATGGATAGCTATAATCTTTTCTAGTGATAATTCTTACAGCTCTTTTCTGTAAAATAAAAAAAGGATTTGTAATTGTTTTACATGCTTTACCCCAGACTTCAATACAGTAAATTAAGTGTGGGACAATTATTGCATTAACTCCCTTACTTTGTACAGTACTGAAATAGATTTGGCTATTTTTGTTCTTAAATTATTTATGTGAGGTTTCCATGTCAGCTTTTCATCAATGAAAAAAGCTTTCCAAAAATTCTGTGAGAGTGGATATAAATCTGAGCGCGTGTGCTCGGGGGCCTCTGACGGTCTTAATCCTGCCTTGAACAGTAAAGTGCATCATGTATTGTAAAGCCCCGCATAATACTTTTCATTTTTAAGTCAAGTGTGTGTGTGTCTATGCAGAACGGCGGTGTGGTTTGTATGCGTACGTCTTGTCCTCGCCTCACTTGTCGCCACCAAGAGACGTCTCCTGGGGAGTGCTGCCCGGTCTGCACAGGGAAGTGTTTTCATGAGGGTGAAGAGCATCCATCCGGCTCCACCTTCACGTCACAGTCTGATCCCTGCTCTAAGTGCTCCTGCCTGGTCAGTCCAGCATCTCTTACTGAATAAAATAAATAGTTCTTAATTTAAATAGGTTTTTTTTTCTCCTTCTGATCAGAATGAGGTGGTGAACTGTCAGAGGAAACCTTGTCCAGTTCAGTGCTCGCATCCTGTCTCGTCGGATAACTGCTGCCCCGTTTGTGACTCCTGCCTGTATGAGGGTGTCGTCCACGCTCACGCTCACATCTTTACACCCCTCTTCAGTCCCTGCCAGCGCTGCACGTGTATCAGAGGCACCGTTTCCTGCGTGCCCCTTGTCTGCCCACCAACGCGCTGCGCTCGGCCCGTGACCAAGCCAGGCCAGTGCTGTCCAGAGTGCACAGGTGCTTCTCAGATCATTTCCTCAAATAAACAGTGTGCTCGTCTCTGCTACCTCTCTGTTTTGGGTCTCAGGGTGTGTGCTGGATGGACAGGAGTTCAGTGACGGCCAGACTTGGACCCCCAGCTTAAACCACTGTTCCACCTGCACCTGCCAGGTGTGACTTCCTCGTTTTTGCTTTTAATCCGTTATTATTATTTCTTTCATACACACCTTTGCTTTCCTTGGGTTTAATGTTGTTTAATCCAACAGAGAGGTGAGGTGCAGTGCTCGTCTCCTGAGTGTCCCCAGCTGCCCTGTCTGCATCAGGTGACCGATCCGGGGTCCTGCTGTCCTCACTGCAGAGGTAATGGACCATTGATGATGTTGATTGTTATTAATATTAATATTATATTGTAAAGACAGCAAGTAATCAGCAGTTTTGTCCACAGGCTGTATGTACGGAGGAGACGAGCATGCAGAGGGCAGCAGCTGGTTTGCAGACTCCACCCCCTGTATGACCTGTATGTGTGTGGATGGAGTGACCACCTGCTCTGAGGTGCACTGTTTGTCTCCGTGCATAAACTTCATCAGCGTGCCCGGAGAGTGCTGTCCGGTGTGTGCTGGTGAGCAAATTCACGTATTTGTAAGAGAATAAAAATGAATGTTAGCCACTTGTTTTTTTTTTTTGTTGCTATTATTACTATTATTCTCTAAAATCATTCTGTTTGTTGTTGAGGAGATTGTGTATTTGAGGGCAGAGTGTACAGCCCGGGAGACAGTTTCCACCCAGCCCAAGACCCCTGTCAGATCTGCACATGCGAAGTAAGAAGTTTTATTGTGGAGCATTTTTATTAGTGAAATGCTGATTCAGCATTCATGCTGTAGAGATCCTGTCTCTCTTAATTTTTTTGTATTTTATTTGTGTATCTTTTTGTACTGACGTCTGCATATGTTGTGCTATTTTAATCATTCACATGTCAAAATGTTCAGTTCATTCAAAACATTCTGTAACAGATTTGTTTATTTTGTTGTAACTTTTATACTTTTCAAAATATTTAACTTTATTTACAAAGAAAATTCCCCTAAAAATACATTGAAATTTCTGATTCATTCAAAAATATGATTATTCTCTTTAAGATCTACTTCAGCGTAATGGCTCCTTTTTTCCCTTTTTACTACTTGTAGCTTTTAGCTAGCATTTAGCTGCTTTTATATTTAAGCTAGCTTTTGCAATTTTTAGCTTTTAGCTAGAATTTGTATATTTTAAGCTATCATTTTATTACTTTTAGCTTTAAGATAAATTTCTACTACTTTTAACATTTTAACTATCCCTTTGCTGCTTTTAGCCAGTGTTTATCTACTTTTGAAGTCTAAATTAGCAGATTTCTACAAATCCATTCAGCCCATGACTAAATTTTTACATACAATGCAATTTCTCCAGGTGATATTTGATGTAAGTTGTTACTTTTAAACATATTTATGTAACTAATTTAGTCTGTGCTTGTACTGATTGAATTTAAATCAGTCAGAAGATTGTGACGATCAAACAAAGGTAACTTTTATCTCTGCCAGTTTGCTTTCTAGATAAGTTACTTAATAAATAAAATATACACTTTATTGACCCCAAAGGCAAATTTTAGTTGAATTTTCAATTATGAAAACAACGACCAGGTTTTTTTTATGATAAATGTTCAAAAAAATGGAGCAACAAAAACAGATGCAGAAACAGATTAAGGACAAACAATACCAGCAGTTGTGATCTGATCCCTTTAAATCTCAGGTGATGCCAGATGGAGAACAACACCTGAAGTGCTACAGAAAACAGTGTCCCAGTTTGGTCGACTGTCCCAAGAGCAACATCCTTTTCTCTGGACCGGACTCCTGCTGTCCCGTTTGTGCACGTCAGTGTCAAACCGCTCTGACAAGGTGTGGTATTTTTGCACTATCCCTGACTTCTTTAACACTCCTCTGTGTTTAGAGCCTCTCACCAACTGTACAACCACACTGATCGGAAACGAAGTGTTAGCAACAGATGACCCTTGCTTCACCTGCCAGTGCCAGGTAAAACATTAAGTACTGAAACACCTTTATTTATTATTTTTTTAACAGCTTAAGTTCATTTCTGCAGTGATGCTGTGTTTGTGTTTCCCAACAAGGATCTGACATGGACCTGCTTACAGCAAACATGTCCACTGCTCACCTGCCCTCTTATCGAACAGTTCACTCTGACAGATTCATGCTGCCCGGTGTGTAAAGGTGAGACACACAATGCGCACACACTCCAGCTGCTTCCACTAGGATTTATGTTGCTGCTAATAGATATCCTTCATAACGATGGTATTCTTGTGTTCCTCACAGACTGTGTGGTCGAGGGTCAGAACAGGCGCGTGTCCAATGGCACCAGCTGGACAGACAGCGATGACGATTGCGTCACGTGCACCTGTAATGTGAGCCAGACAGAAACACTTTACCTTCTCACCACAGGCTTGTCTTTGTCTACCGTCAAACGACAAAAGTTTTTTAACTTGTGCAAAGATCATCTAACGTTTCTACGTCAGTAATCTTCTTTGTTTGCATCCTCAGTGGGGCTCCATCGAGTGCAGCATTGAAGAGTGCGTACCTGCTGTTTGCGTGAGCGGCCAGGAACAAGTGAAAGTTCCAGGAAAGTGCTGCTATGAATGCCGAGGTATGAGACGCAGAACATGGACGGCGTTCCCACCCACATCTGTGCACACCTGTCACTTCACCACTTGCTCTTGTCAAGGGCGGACGCTTTCCCTCTCCTCTCCCTCCTCCGTTTTGCTTTTGCTCTGTCCTGTCTGTGAAACTGCTTCAGAGCCTCTCTACTTATAGTATGCTTTTTTATAACTGTTTATTGTTGTTGCTGTTGTCCATTGTTGTCATCTTTCTTTGTTGAAATCAGGTCTCTCTTATAAATGAGTCCTCGAGGCTCAATGGGATTTACCTGTCTAAATAAAGGTTGATTGAGAGCCTCTCTCTACTTATCTTCCGAACTGTACATTTTTGCTATGTTCAGTTGGTCTCTCAACACAGTTGTAAAATTTTCTCAATGAGAAGACAAGCTTCAGGCGAGCCAATTTTTCTCGACATGAAGACAAGCGCAAAGGATGCATATACAATTGGCTTTATTATAACTGGTTTCATGCTTTTTGGATTTGACTGGTTCCTGGTCCGGGCAGCACGGTGGCGCAACTGGTAGAGCTGCTGCCCCTCAGCGAGCAGGTCCTTGGTTCAAACCCCGGTTCTCTCCATGCATGCGTGTGTTTTCTCCGGGTGCTCCGGTTTCCTCCCACAGACCAAAAACATGCTAGACTGATTGGTAACTCTAAATTGTCCCTAGGTGTGAGTGAGAGAGTGAATGGTTGTTTGTCTCGTTTGTCTCTATGTGGCCCTGTGATGGACTTGCGACCCGTCCAGGGTGTACCCCGCCCCTCGCACAGTGATTGCTGGACATGGGCACCGGTGACCCCCATGACCCAAAATGGAATAAACGGGTAAAGCTAATGGATGGATGGATGGATGGATGGATGGATGGATGGATGGATTGGTGGTTCCTGGTCTATCAACAAACAAGGAAGTCATCGGCAGCAAATTTGGCCCTGGTCAGACTGCCTGCGTCTGTCCACTTAATTTGGACGTTTGGAATTTGAGAGGACCAGCAAAGACTCAAGGCAGACATGAATCAGCAAAGTTCTGCCTGTTCCCAAAACAATTATGTTGCTTATCTGAATTCGGCTCCACGACTGGCCTTGACTGGCCACCTTATCTCAATTTGCCTGGAGGCCCTGTAAATTGATGCTTTGCCCCCCTCCCTTCCTCTCCTACCGAGAAAGTCTGCGGACCTATCAGAGGGGCCCGACTGAATAAACATTGCTTCATCATTTCAGGGCTCTCGGATTCTCTCTGGCGCTGTTCCAGGTCGACCTCGGCACGAGAGTGTTTATGGATCTCACCAGAGGGAACTGACTGACTGTACCATTCTTATCAGAACTCTTACAGTGTCCTTGACTTGATCACCGCTCTTGTCGTCTTCCCTCCCCTGCAGAATGTCTACGTCACTATGTGCCTATGTGCGGGGTGTTTATTAAATATCAGGGTCTTTCTCCTCGGTCAAGGAGAAAGTGTTTGATAGGATTTTTTTTTTTGTCTCCAAATCCTATATGTGTCAGTTTCATTACTTTTTGTCCGTCTAAGCAGGTCTCACTTGTAAATGAGGCTTCGAGGCTCAATGTGATTTATCTGTCTAAATAAATATTGAATGAATGAATAAATGAATGAATGAAGGTCTGACAAGTTAGTATTTTTGTGTTGCAGACTCAGGGGATTCGTGTTTGTACCAGGGGGTGGTGTATCACTCCGATGAACAGTGGGAGGTGGATGAGTGCACCAGCTGCACATGTGTGTCTGGAGATGTACACTGTAGGAGTGAACGCTGCCCTCCGCTCACCTGTGCAGCTGTCAGTATCACAACACACACCTGCTTGTCAGAAATGTCAAAAAGTCTCATCAGTTCTCCTCTGACTGTCTTCATAGTCTATTCATGTTTTCAACTCTGGACGTCTCAGTGCAACACGTTCTGTGTTTGTGTCCATCTCAGGATGAGATGCTTGCAGTCATTCCAGGTTTGTGTTGTCCTCATTGTCTTCCCCGTCCGGCTACCTGCATCGCCTTCGGTGATCCTCATTATCGCACCTTCGATGGCCGCATGTTTCACTTCCAGGGAGCGTGCACGTACGTCCTGACGCAGGACTGTGAAAGTGGAGACTTCAGGTCAGAGAGTTGCCTTTAATTGTCCAGTGTTGTCTTGTATTTTAGTTGTACATGCTGAGAGGTTGTTTTACATAAAATAGTCAGATGACATAATAACAGAAGGAGCCTTTGTGCTTGTTCATTATACCACAATGCAGCACTTGGAAATGTTTTTTTTTTCGAGTTAGAGTTCCTTTGCAAAATCCTTAGTTGTTAAATTACTGTACACATAAAGTTAAGTAAATAAAGCCTACGTTAAAAAATCTCATTGTTTTTCTTTTTTAAGAAAAAAATTCCTGCAGTAAAAATTACTCTGATAAGTCCATCTAAAAGGATTAAGTTAATATTTAAATGCATTAAGTCCATTTTAACCCTTTATGGTGAATTTTATTGTAGCCTTTTTCCAGATGATGAGTTAGCTCAACAGGCCCGTGGTCCAGCATTTTTGTTGCACATCATAACGTTTATAATGTTTGCAAATGTTTAGTGCACTTCAAAATAGTTTAATAACCCTGTGCTATGAGAATATTCACCATCAAAACTACTAGGTTTTTTTTTTTTTTTTAAAGCAACTTAACTTTAAAAATAAGTTAGCTTTTTCTTTACCCACATTGCACCTCTCTTCAAGGTTTCATACAATTTTACTCAGCAGTTGTAAAATCATACAGATAAATAAGGATAAATATGGTGTTTGTTGCACTAACATATACCGATGACTACGTGCAAAAATAGAAGAAAAAAAAATGTATTCACAAATACGTTGTGATGTTTCATCTTTATAAGTTTAAGTTAGGTATGCTTACAGATGATGTTGGCATCGTGTCCACATCAGAGTTCATTGCAGTGGCTTTACACTTGGGCGGCTGTGGCTGAGTGGTTAGAGCAGTCGTCCTCCAATGCAAAATTTGGGGGTTCGAATCCACCAGCAGTCATATGCCGATGTGTCCCTGGGCAAGACACTGAACCCCTCGTTGCCTCTGATGTGTGTCCCATCAGTGTATAAACGTGATAAAGCACTAATTAGTCTCTTTAGAATGATGTACCTTTGTAGAGATCTAGTAGAGTGCTGTATGAATGGGTAAATGAGGTCACAGATTGTAGTGTAAAGTGCTTTGAGTGTCTCTATAAGATAGAAAGGTGCTATATAAGTATAGTCCATTACACTTGAACCAACTGCAAGCCACAAAAATCAGGATTTTTGTTCTAATTTCGTGAAGATGGCTGAAATCTTTAAAGGTTCACAGTCCTTAGCCTCACGGTTTATCTTTGTACAGTGTTCATGCTACAAATGATGATCGTGGACGTAACGGCGTGTCCTGGACCAAAGAGGTGACGGTCTTTCTAGGAAATATCACTGTGCAGCTCCTCCAAAACTGGGTTGTTAAGGTTTGTGTGCGACTGAGCGTAAGATGGTGTTGTATTTTGTTACACATCCACTCAGTCATGCTATATATTTTTTTAATTCTCCAGGTAAATGAAAAGGTTGTGGCTTTGCCTTTCCTCAGAGAGCCGTACGTCTTTGTAGAGCGACAAACCAACATGGTCCTGCTCAACACGAACATTGGACTGAAGGTAGAGCAGCATGGCAGTTCTCGCAGTGTGAACATCTTTATAAACACAATTACACACCCACCAGTTTACCTCTAGGTGCTGTGGAGTCCTCGTTCACACTTGGAAGTGAGTGTGCCAGGTTCATACAAAGGTCAAACCTGTGGTCTCTGTGGAAACTTCAACAACTATTACCAGGATGACTTCCTGAAGCCTGGCGGCCAACTCAGCCAATCAGAGGCTGAGTTTGGCAACAGTTGGAGAGTATGTTTACGACACAAACATTGCTTTAAAAAGGAGAGGGGATGCAAGTAGTCTGACTGCTAATACCTCTCAAATACCTCTTATTGAAGGTGACAGATGGAAACCATGCCCTCTCTTCCTGTCGTCCCGGAGAGGACGTTGATCCCTGTAAAAGTGCAGGATACCAGGCGAGGAAGGGGGCGAACGCTCACTGTAGAGTCCTGAAATCTGCTGCTTTCAAGCCCTGCCATCGAGTCGTTCCTCCCGAGCCGTGGTACGGCGCCTGCGTGTACGACCTCTGTGCATGTGGTTCCAATTCTGACGAGTGTCTGTGTGACACGCTGGAGGCCTATGCCAGCCAGTGCAGAGAGGCTGGGGTCATCCTGCAGTGGAGGAGCGCATCACTGTGTGGTGAGCATAGAGGCTTAACTAAGAAATAAATGTGTCTTATTAGAATTACCCTTAATTGAAATGTGTCAAAGGTCAACATATGCTATGCTATGTCTTCAGAGTTTTTTTCCTTTTCTGTTTCAGCTGTGGGCTGCCCTGTAGAGAGGGGGTTTGTGTTTGACGAGTGCGGCCCACCATGTCCCGTGACATGTTTTAATGTTGACAAGCCGCTGGGTGAGATAGAGAGTCATTGCTTCAAGCCCTGCATCCCAGGCTGTCAGTGTCCCGCTGGCCTCGTTCTGCACAACAGCTACTGCATACAGCCAGGAAAGTGTCCAAAAATCATTCACAGCAACCAGTTGTGATGTCCAAACTGCTCTGTTACAAATCTATGCTCACGTCTATAAGCACATGCACAGCTTTTTCTGTCTTGTTCATGTTTTATACAAAAATAATGGAAAAAATATCCAGGTGCTCCTCATGGATTTTGCATAATGACCCAAGATGTTGATATAAGTAGCACTGAGTATTTATGTAGCGCACAATTTAATGCTTTTTTTCCCTTGTTATGTTTTCCCATTTATTATAAATTGACTACAGTGTAACAACATTTATACTAACAATTAATAAATTGTTTACTGTACAGGTAAAAAGTATGTGCAATGTTTGACTGTATGTACAAGAAGTAACATAATCTCAGGTGTTCTTCATTTGCTAGTTCACAAATAAACAATTTTTACTAATATTTGTGATTTTCTGTTGGTGTACAGATCAGTGTTATTCTGTAATCAAATCATGAAAATCTACCGTGAATATATCTACAGTCATTCAGTTATCACACACTGTTATATCGCCTGCTGCCTGTCACGCCAGAGTTTTAGACTAAAATCATCCCATGTTGAGAATAGATGGAGCTGCAGGCGTTTTGGTCAAAGCTGAAAGAACAACACGAGATGTTACCCTCAGAGTATAGGTCAGGGCTATTCAACTGGCAGCAACAGGCTGGTGACTTCAATCTGGCCCACTTCATAAAAAAAATATTATTATTTTTTGGTTCTGGATTCTTTTTAGTGCGTTTATGATTCAATGCAATAAAATGAACATATTTAAAAGGTAACAGATCGTTGTAAACTTTGTTTATTTACATAATGATTTTAATAGCTGGATGTTGGGCCCCTGAGCTGTTGGCTTTCAGAAACTGTGGCTCCCTGAGCAGTTTTGTTGAATAGCCCTGGTATAGGTCGTTAATGACTGTAAGCCACTTCCATCTCAAATTTGAGCTCAGTAACACACGTGTTTAGAGCCATTTTGTGTTGGCTGTTGTCTTTTGTACTGTGGCAGCCATCTTGAGTTACATTGGCTCCTAAAGTTATTTGGTTCTTGGTGTATATTTATTGATTGATTTCTGAAAATTTAAACAAAATCCATCCAATGGGTTATTAGATATTTTGCTAACCGACAGATTTGACGTCAATAAGCTAATGTCAAAGTTGTAAACAACGATCTTGCACCGTTTGTTTATGCTTAGAGCATGCGTTGGGGATCAGTCTCAGCTACTACCAAACCAAACTTCAGGTCCATATCTGTAAAATTGACTGAGTTGTTGGTATTTTCTGTGGGTTTTTTTTAAGATCAGTTAGGGGTGGAAGCCATCTTTAATTGCGTTAACTCCAAAAGTTAAAAAAATTTAATTAAATTGCTCTACAAAATTCATTATAATTCATCCAATGATTTAAGAGATAATTTGCAAACAGGCACATAAACAAACACTGAGATAAAAATAAATAAATAAGTTCATGTCTGTAGTTGACCTTAATAAAAAGTAAGTATTTCACTCTGCGGCATTAGTGTATATTTGATCATTTTAAGGATATTTTAATTTGTTTCCACAAAACATGACTGTACCTGAAATTATGTGTTGACTGTATTTAGACAGTATTGTACATGTAGCCTAAAATAGTTTTCACATATAGGTGCAAAAACAAATAACTCAAGATAACTTGAGAGAGGATCCACTACTTTCACTTAGATTTCAGTGGCTCTGCGTCACATTTCTCTCCTCTGTTTCCCTCTGACGGGGGGTCACTTTCAGTTGCTCGGTAAGCTGATCCAGACGCTGTAACCATGGCAACGTCCTGTATAATTCATCAGCTCAGGGTGGAGAAAACATGGAGGAGGTAAGCCGTTTTAATGTTGAGCCGCACTTGTACTTTTGATAAGCGTTGGAGCTAAAATGAAGTTTTCCTTCAGGACTGTGTTGCTGCTCTTTGTGGGTCCCTGGGTCGGTGTGCAGAGGAAGAGATTTCCTCTGAAGATGTGAGCTTCCTCTTTGGCAAAATGTTTCATGTTTCCTCCAACAGTGATGAAGCACATGCCGCCATGAAGAAGGTAAAGATTCAGACATTTTGAGGAAACAATGTTAATATTTACACTTTTTGCAATCAGACACCACAGTGTTCTTTACTACTCGAGGATGTTCCTTCAGCAGGTCAGTTTAATTGAGGGTATTTCTTTCATATAAAATAAATAAACTTTGTAGAATTATTTGACATTTTTCATAGAGCTAGTTCATGAAGCCAGGAACCAGCAAGGCCACATGCAATGTTGCTGAAGAGAGGGAGGTCTGGGTTTCCTGAGACCTGTTGCCTCTGAGACCTGACTAGATGAGCAGTAGAGGATGGAGAGGGAAAAACAATGATCTGATCCAACATGAAAAGTTTTTTAGGTTGCATTTCTTAAACAAATTGGCCTCTGTGCAGTAAAGAAATTAAAATGTAATTTGTTTCCAACATCAAAACTATTCTTGCTTCAGAGCAAAAGAATATTGGAATTTAAATTAACAGGTCGGTGCAATGTAATAATCATCAAACAGTTCAGAGTTATAAAAATTATTGAGGTATATAGTTTAGGATAAAGCTCTATCCCGCAAATCTCAACTGCTGTTCAAGAAGAATGGATCTAAATGAATAAAGGGTAGAAAAGGTGAAACAAAACACAGGTTTTTTTATTTGTTTACAACAAAATGCAATTATAGTTGTTTTTGATTTTTCTACATTTGTTCATTTAATCTAGAACTTATGGTTAGTAATTTAAAGTTTTGTGCCACATCTGTGATTTTTTTTTGTTTTGCAAAATAAACAGCTGAATGAACATCCTGCAAAAGTAATGAATTAATTATTTGCGTTGAGCATTTATGTTTGTTTCAGATCGCTGGAGGAAATAAAAGCTGGTCCTGTTCTGGCCCAAATCTTTTGGATGTTCTCTTAGAAATGGAAAGGCAGAGAGAAATGAAAGAAATGGTAAAATTATTGTTTTTTCTTCTTTCTCATCAACTGTTAAATTCTTCAATAACAATAAATACTGTTTTGTTTTAGTTATACTGGGATTATCAGCTTCTAAATACCAAAAACCTTCCTCACTTGATGGATTATTCACATCCGAGTACAGATACTGAAACTTTTAAAAATACTCACAACTCAGATTCCGGATCCATCCGGCCGCACGCAGCTGAAACGGCCTTCTTTCTAGTAAGCAGCTAAGATTTACAGATCCACAGAGCTTCTTTAGAGGCTCCTTGCATATTCACTAAAATTTGTCTGGTTTTCCTTCATCTGCAGACTGGAGGACTGCTGGGAGGAAAAACGCTCTGTCACGTTGTGACAAACATGAGGAGGCTCAAGAAAGCAGCCGGGCACTGCTGGGCTCAGTGAGCTTCTTAATAATTTTTTATTTCATCTTCTTCTTCTTTCATCCATTCCCTTTTCAGGGGTTGCCACAGCGAGTCATCCTCCTCCATCTCACTGTCCTCTGCCCTCACTCCATGTCCTCTCTAACTGGATCCATATATCTCCTCTTTGTCTTTTTCCTGGCAGCTGCATTTCTAACATCCTTCTACCAGTATACCCACTGTCCCTCCTCTGGACATGTCCAAACCATCTCAGTCTGGTCTCTAACTTTATCTCCCAGTTGTTCAACCTGTGCTGTACCTCTGATGATCTCATTCCTAATCTTATCCGTCCTTGTCACTCAGAATAACCTCAACATCTTCAGCTTTGCCACTTCCAGTTCTTTCTCCTGACATCTTTCAGTGCCACACTGTTTCTGATAAAGCTGAATGTTTTGATGTTGCCGTTTTTCTTTAGGCTGGCATCACAGGGTATGCAAGGCCTTACACCGTCACCCTGGCAGGGTCTAAGGATAGGCATTAAAAGTCAGGCCTGGGGCTGCATCTCCTTGTCTGATGTTCTCCTGTTGGTGGAAGTGAAGTATGACACAGTGGCACACTTACTTTACAGAGAGATGCTTCAGGAGCACCACAGTAAGTTCAGGTCACTCTGACCTGAGGTCACAATAACACCAGATAAAGTCGCTTTGACTCAGCAGTGCTGAATGGAGCTTAGTCAGCATGTCAGGGTGTGCTCCGGCTCCAGTTTGTTCCTGTTTCACGTCTTTTTCTGGTGATTCCCCAGCTGAGAGTGTTTGGGAGAAGCTGCCACCGTGGCAACAACATCAAGAAGTGGAGGTGCTGGAGGATCTTGCAGAGGAAGCTCTGGAGTCTGTTGATGTGCTCGGTTTGGCTGTGCTGCCGGGAGCTTTCAGGATATACAAGTAACACTCTGACCCCAAGTTTGAACATTTAACTTCCCCCTTTAGTCACAAATACATTTAGCAATGTGCATTTTATGTTTGTACCTCGCTGTGTAGAAGATGTGACAAATGGTTAAAGCAAATATAATCCATGGGTCATTTTTAAATACCAACAAAATTATTCATGAAAGCTTTTAGATCTTGTGGTGTTAAAAGATTTGCATAGTGTAAAACATAAATGTGTATATGTAAATTTAAGCATCATTTTAGACATAGTTGCTTTTTTTTGGGGGGGGGGGGGGGGGGGGGCTTTCAAGCATTTTGTCTAAATAAACCAAGAAGAAAACAGAGATACAAATTCAAGTGGCTTTCCGTCAATGCATCTCAAAAACACAATGATAAAAGAGATATTTGTCTGCAGGGTGTGTCCAGCTGCTTCATCACAAACCCGCTCAGAGCTCATGGATCAGTCCTGGTCGGCTGTTTCTCTCCTAAATGACTTACACATGTTTCGTCAACAAGAGCAAAACACACTAACATCTCTGGGTCAAAGGTAAATGCATGCAAATATATCAATGAATATCACTGTACTTGATGGGAAAATAATTCATTTATAGAACTGCAGTGTTAGTATGGATTAAAATAGCAAAAGGATGAGACAAAAACAACGGAGTAATTAATTTCATGAACTTGCTGCGTCCAGGTTGTGTGGAGAGAGTCTGAGATTGTTGTGTCTCTACATCTGCCTGGCAACTTACAGAGCTCAGAGGGAGAAAATGTCCCGCTGCGCTCTTCTGGCAGCTCGTCAGTCCTGGGATTCATGGTGAGCTGACTGTAAAAGGATTATAGTATTTCTTGATCTGCTTCCTGCTACAATCAAGTTTATTTTACAATATTAATAACCTTTAGAATAATTGTATTAATTTAAAGGTGTAGGAATGATATTATAATGCTTTGGTATAGCTGTTTGTGGAACGACGGTACCAGTGGAAGCTGGCTAGAGATGCTGATCACTTTCCTCCATAAGAAACCTAGAAAATCTTTTCCTTTCTTCGAGACTGTTAGCCATCTTGGTTTGGTTCTGGAAAACACTGACAGGGCATGAGGAAGGGCAGGAGCCCCCCCTGATGAGTTTCTATAAAACTAACCTTTTCATTTCAGGAAGTCGGAACGGGTCAGAGACTCAGACAGGACAAGACATTAACACGTTCTGTACTTGTGATGCATTGACTTTCTGTGACTGATCGTTCTCCACAGCTTTGTAATAAATTTGATGAAATCTACACCTGATCATTTGTGAATCAGTTGTTTTTTTCTACGCCACCAACAAACAGGAACAGTGACAATGATCCAGATTTACACTACGTGTATACGCACACTTTCAGTTGTATGTTTGGTTAATGATTTTCTGTTCAGGCCACAAGTCGTCAGTCCATGCAGAGCAGAACAAGTTGCCCTGTGGTTTCATCAACGAGAAGAAGAGAAAGAGGACATCAAGACACCACAGCAGGTATTGTGCAGGTCTAACTCTGAATGAATAATTCTTAAGCAGAAAGTGGAGCTACATGTTCACTCATTGTTGAGGTTAAAATATTTTAAAAAGTGAGGACTGCAGTGTTTTTATCAGTAACCAAAGAAAAACTTTTTCAGCAGACTGAGCTTCAGCTGCTGGTTCTGACTCAGGAGCAGGAGAGGAGGCACCTGCTCACGTTGTTACATGAGATTTCCGTGGAGGATTTGCAAGAACCAGGTTGTACAATACCTTAAAAACAGTAAATATATATATATATATATATTTCTCTTGAATCAAATTTGTTTCTACAATCAGTTGTCTTGTTTGGGACTTCCAGACAGCGAGCAAACTTCTTTGAGGGCTGGCTGTTTAAGAAGGCTAAGAAAAATCCATATGCAGCTGAAAACACAAAGTGGGGCTCACACCCCTTCAAACCATACACATGTTCAGACCCAAATGCAGGGAGAGTGGTCGCAGGTTCTGCTGGAAGATTGTGCCATGCTCCTTATGACCCGTCTGATAGAGCTTCAAGAGGTCCAAGCCTTGTATTTAATCCAAGAGCTCCTGGACCGAGTGAGTCAAGACACCCCCTTATCCTCCTCGGTGTAGGATTAGATTAGTAGAAATGTAAATTGATTTAGAGAAGTAGCAAAAGCAAGAATCCAGAGTGTTGATTCTGCTAAAGCTCTAACTTGACAAGCATGGTTAAAGGAGCACAAAGTAGACTGTAGTTAGACTGCAAAAAACATGCAAATAGATGAACTGTGTGAATGCTAATTAAGCATCCACACAGTAACAGTATACCATTTTTTTTTTCTGTTTTAGAATATACAAAGTGTCAAAGTTCTGCGAGAAAAATATGAAGCTGAACTCGAAGCACAACATTTCACCAACCTGTTCCACTTCCTGACCTCAGAAGACTCCCTAACCTCAGGCTCTGTGGTTGAAAACACCAGCAATGATCTATCTGGACCAGAATCCTCTTCCACCTGCGAGGTCGAGACTGGTGGATCAGCTGCAGCCTCACCTGCTGATTCAGTCAACAGAACCTGCCGTGAACAAAAAGTCCAAACTGCAAACGGTTCTGCCAAACAGGAAGTCTGTTCAGGTACCTGCACTGAAAACATGTTGGAAAAACTGGACATGAACACCAGAACCTAAAAGATGCTTTGGTTTCCTCCAGGTTGTGGAGCGATTATGGAGGACCTGCCCTACCTGGAGATCTTGGGCGTACCGGACACACGGGGTGATGCTCTTGAGAGCCTGGCTGCAGAGGGAGGAACCTGTAAGGAAGATGAGGGCAGTGTAACAGAAAGCCACCAGAGCTACGACAAACAGAGGTGTCTCATCACTCTTGCTTGGAGCAAACCATCTGAGGACGAGGCAGAGACTGCGAATGGAGAAACCGAACAGAATCAAGACAATAGCACTAAGACCCAAATTCAATCCGCACAATGTGAGAAAACCATTCAGGAGACAGACAGAGATGTGAACTCTACACCGCTACAGAGTGGTTCTTCAGATCATCAGTACAACACAATAGAACAGGTACCTCCATAAAGAGCACGTCATGATGCACTGTCACGTTCATTCATCGGATTCTCTTTTATTTCAGCTGAATTTGGATAAGAAACCAAAAGTAGATCGATCAGATGATGGAGAAGTTGCATCTGAAAGCATCAGTCAAACAGACGCTACGGAAGCTGAGAACCTTCAGCGTTTACAGCCAAATGTCTTGGATGATTCTTTTAAAAATACAGATGACCTCTGCTCTGGAACATCTGATCACATGGTCAGTGCTGCCAGAGAGTTGACCAAGGAGGAGCTATGCCCAAGTGAGTCCTCACTGGAGAACCTCAGAGAGCCTGAAGACTCAGGTCATGAAGACCTGACATGGTCCCAAGAATCAACAGTAAGACCGTTCTTTGTCCATTTTTCTGATCAGTACGTCTCTGAGTATTTAAGAAGTTTATTTTTTCATGCTACAGTTAGAGTTCAGTCTCTCTCAGAGAAACGGAACGAGGGAACCCAGTCTGATGAAGGAAGGAGTGAGACATCCAGTGTCTGCAATGGATCGAGAGAGAACAATGCGCAACCTGGTGGACATGCAAAGAAAGTTTGAAACAAAGCATCAAAGAGACAAAGAAAGACAGCTATTGAGGGTGAGCTATGTGAAAACAAAGCCTCTGAAATTCTCAGCAAATGTGTCTTGACATGGTTTACTTTCTCAGGTTCAGGAGCGTCTGTCAATAATTCAGAACAGAAAAACTGACGAGGACCTGCTTGGCCAGAAACATACTGACATGCTAAGACATCTCATGCAAGATCTACCTTTGGTAACCGTGAGTGAATCTCTATAAGAACATCTTGTGTTTTGGTTACCATTGGGTGCACTGTTGTGTTTTAGGAAGACAAGAACCAGCAGAAGACGGTCATGAAGGAGCGACTGGAGCAGCTCAGAAGAGAGCGCTCTTACATCATGCAATCGAAGAGAGACAGGTGAACTGAATGCCTCATGCAGGAAACAAGATCATATTGACCGGTGTTACAAGTCAACTCTTGTATCTTTCAGGAACACAGCAGTGTTCAAGGAACTCCTGGCTCCAGTTGGTCTGCACTTCAGTGAGACAGAAGAAGAAACAAATCAAGGCACTTCAAGTGTTTAGAACCGTTCGGCTTTCAGACATTTAGTCCCAGTTTCATCTGTTCATGTTTAATTTACTGAGCCATCATCTCTCAACCTCTTCAAGTTGCTGATTTATACCATTTTGTTGATGATCGTGTAAGATCAGTACTCTCCAAACTTTTAAACCATTCCCAATAGTATGCTTTGGCCCAACAGACTTTCTTGTAATTTTTTGAAAATGTTTTGGTCAATGGTTTTTCAGGCTTTCCTGAGGTCTTTTAAAAGATTTTATTTGAGCTTGGGAAGTTTCATTTTCCTTCTCACTTTCTACCTAGTCCTTGTCCACAATATTGACAGAATGTTGTGTGTTGAAAATAAGGACAGTAGACCATCCAAGGGCGTAAGAAAAACTACAACAGATGACAGCATATGAAAGTGGTCTAATTGGGAAAGAAATTGAAGCAAGAACTAACAGGGAACCTGAGAAGTACCATTTAGTTGATCAACTATTTGCCAAGCTCCAAAACAAAATTGGTTCTTTTCCAAGTGGTTTTGTTGCACAAACACTGATTGTGTCATTTCCTTGGGTTTAAGAGTTTCCCCAATGATTCACAAGTCGTAGTTCAGCAACTTGAGAAACAAAACATTTCTCTGAAACTGGTCAGGTACCAAAGCTGAGTGAATAAACAGCAAAAATTAAAAAAAAAAAAAAAAAAAAACTTTGTAAGACCTTCAGAAAACTTGAAGAGCCATTGCTTGATGGCACTTTGGAGTGATAAATCAAGACCTTTGCACAATACTGCACAAAATACAAGTCGTTACAACCAAAAGACCAAAAAACAATTCTTTGTTGTACAGTTTAATTTTGACAACTATATGCATCAACAATAACGTAATTTATTTATAACCCTTTAACTGTGTGCACATTATCCCAAGGCCAAAATGACATACACAATGAATCAGAGGTGCTCGTAAACAGTCCAAAGTGGCTTCATTAACCTTTCTTTATGTGAACCTTTACGCTGAACATTGTTCACTTGTGTAAGAAATGGTTGTGACAACAGATCTAGACTGCTGTACACATCAAAAGCACAAACTGGACTGAGACTGGATTTATTTACAGGTATGGAAGGATGAGAAAGTTAAACACTTGGAAGGAACATTGGTTTGACTAGTAACTACAGCAGGCAGATAGGAAATCTACAGCTTAATTGGTGTGGACTCAGGAGTTTATCCTGCAAGATGACCCCTTGATCCAAGTAAGAGAAAACGTCTGCGATTCTCAGCAAATAAACATTCTTTTTACCCACCCTCCCCTTATTAATTATTACAGTACTTATATTTAGTACCCCCTCTCACTGCTGTTCACAGCAAAGCAGAAATACCTACCAGTCTAATGAGCTAGAACATTCCACAACGCCCCCCGCCCCCCACACACAAAGTGGATCAACTCCAGTAATGAGTACATAACTTCAAAATCTGAGGATTCAAACACTAACATTCACAGCAACAAAGAATTTTAACTTCCCAACAACAACAAAAAAAGAAACAAGCATATTGTCTGACAGGCCATATACTCAGAGCTTTAATTGTGTGCGAGTGACAGCTTGAAACTGAACAAAACCAGCAAATAGAACAAATGAAGGAGAGTTCACCTCAGAGGTGGTGGCAGGTCAGATGTTTGGCTCTCAGGCTATGCAGAGATGGAATCAGGTTAGCTCATGTGGCAACAGGGCACTTCATAGCAGGAACACACTAAAGTCTGACAGATTTCACTTGTGTTTGGACTCTACAAGCTGTTTGGAGAGAAGGTACATGCATGTGTGCGATTGACCAAATTACATATTTTACAAAATAGTTGACAGTATTTGCATTTTGTACATTAGACTGGTTTCCTCACAAAAGTAAAATATTAGAAAGACAGAAAAGGCTCAAGTTGAGTTCACTTTAATGAACTTCTGAAAATGAGACCAATTTCTCACTGGAGATAAATGACGATCACTACTGTTTGTTACACAAAACTGTCACGCACCCAGATCTGTCCGAGGTGGCGGTGGGCACAATAGAGCTGAGGATGGAGTTTTATTATGTTTTTATTGTTTTATGTTTTTGTGTATCTCCTTTTCACTGGAATCATAAAAGGAGGGAAATGTGTATGCGCAGTAAGTTTTGAATGGTATTAGCAATGAAACCTAAACCATGTTTGTGTGCAAGTCTTTGGATGAGTCTTTCTATTGGTGTGCACACTGCACTCCTGGGCCATGGTGACCCCCTTCATCATCAGAACTATCGTTATAGGCCTCTCTCCTGGCCCCACTGCCAGAACCTTGACTCTTGTCATAATCTGACAGCTCAACATCCTCTGCATCCGGGGCAATATCAGGGTTTTCAGAACGAGCAGGAAGCAAATTCTCCAGGTCCTTTAAAAAAAAAAAAAAAAAAAAAAAAAACATGTTAACTATCTTTAAACAGCAAAAATGCAGACTGGTTTGTTTTCCTTTTTGACGATAACTCACATTCAGTTTTTCGGAGCTGATCCAGTTGTTTTCTGGGAACTGAACATCAAACTTGATGTAAAGATCTCCTTTCTCGAATGGATTTCTGTACTGAGGCATTCCCTCTCCTTTCACCACTCGAGTACATCCTAGAATATAAAAACAGGTTTGCAAAAGAGTCAAAACTAGCTTTGAGTCAAACTCTGAACTTAGAACTCACCTGCTCTGAAACCTAATAGTTATACATAACAAATACAATTAAAAAAATAGCAGTCCATGTTATTTTTGTATAAAAAGGAACAGACATCTGTAGTGTCTAGAGATACAAGCAGCAACTTGGTGGTTTGTTACCTCCTAATGTGATATCATGTCAGGGTTTATTAACACCCACTTCTACAAAAGAAGTAGTTGAGTGGATCGCTGCCCTAAAATGACTGTTATCCTATGTAGCCCTAACCCTAACAAAAAATAAATAAATGCATGCTGACCTGGCTCAATAACTTTGCCAGGTGGGTATTTGACAAGCAGCTGCCGTCCATCCAGGTGTGTGATTGTCATCTGGAAGCCACACAGAGCCTCAACAAGTCCGATACGCTGGACCATGTGAAGGTCATTTCCATCACGCCGAAACTCCTGTTGAAATACAAATTGCATCGTTTTTCTCTGACTGCTTACAAGTTTGAAAAATAGAAAACAAAAACAAAGGCAGAGTTTGTAGAATTTCTTAATCCATCCGATAAAAAGTACCTCATGATCTTTCTCTTGAAGCACCAGAACAATATCACCTGGTTCAACACCTGGTGCTTGGTCAGCTTCCCCAGAGAATGTGATCTTCTGTCCATGTTTCATGCCTTTGTCCACATGAACCTCCAGAAGTTTAGTCTCCTTAGATACCTTCTGACCCTCACACTTTTTGCAGCGGTCCTTCTCATTTATTACCTCCCCTGGACAAAAATACACAGTACACAAAAATATATTTTAAAACAGTATTTTTTCTTTTGTTTTAATTCTGTTTGTATGCAGTTTATTTCAGTATGAGGACATTTATATGAAAATATTACCCTCTCCGTTGCAGTCTGTGCAGACTGACTGCATCTGTTGAACCATCCCTGGAGCCAGCTGTCTGATCATGATTCTCATTCCTCGTCCTCTGCATGCCACACATTTCTGCACGGCTCCTGCCTTACCCCCCTGACTGGAATGGAACAGATAATGAGTGTTATCAAACATCCATTATGCTTTCTAAAAATATTCTTTACAAAAATTACACATTCTAAATACACTGTCAGTTAAAGAGGTGTATTGTTCTTTAAGAACATATGTGCATAATGTACGTTTAATGGCATGAAAACATTAACAAAAAGTTCAGACGGGAAGAAGTAAAGACTGTAAAGTACTTGGCTTTGACTGGCAGTAATATAAACACATCACCAGGCTGGACATGCAACTTTATTAGTTTGCTGCAGGGCTGCAATAGTGAATACAGTTCACTTGCACCATTAACACACATTTATAGACTGATAAAAGCATCATTTGGAGTAAATAAAATCACGCAATGGATCGATTTTGCAGTATAGCAAGCAGCTTGCTCTTTCAGATCCACGGTGTACACTTTTCTCCTGAGCACCAATCCAGTCAAAAGTAATCAGCTCTCTTACTCTGAAATTAGGCTAATTAGTATTTGTGACTCCCACAGAGTCAAAGACAAAGTGCTGTTCCTGTTTTAGAGGTCTGCCATGTTACTCATTATATTAATATTAGAAATATTAATATTTGAAGTCTAGGTTCAGGGACACCGACTTGCTATGCTGCTTAATTACAAAAAAAGGAGTTATTTTTCCTTGATTTATCAGCTGTACCTTAATAAAAAAATTAAAAAAAACATATCAGTGCACTAATTTAAACCTTTAAGACTGTGGCGTGATTTATTATATAAACAGAATTCCAGAGAGGCTCTGAACAGTTTCAGAGAGGCTGTAAAGAATGAAGGTAAAGAACCATCAGTTCCCAAACTTTAAGTGTGGTCTGGATTAGTCGAACAGCAAACATGGACAGCAACTTAGTTATAATGGTTTTGGTCTTATTATTAAGACTGTCTTGTTTTGTGTGCTGTAAATGTATCAGACACATTGTCCCAAATTATTAAAAAATGTGGTTGTTCTTATTGCTATTACAAATCAAAGCTTTTAAAGTTAATATAATTTCAATCACAAATATGAACCATGCAAAGAAGACTCACCCATTGCAGGCACTACACAACACATTCTTACTGAGCTGCAGTTTTGTAGTTTTGCCATTGTACAAGTCTTCAAGAGAAACTCTGTGAGACAAAAAATGGTGTAAAAACATTGTTTAAACCACCTCTCAACTGAGTATTTCTATGTGAAACACTTACTTCAGCGGGTGAACCATATCATCTCCTCTCCTCTTGCCTCCGTTACGCCCTCGGCCCTGTCCGCCCATAAACCCAAACAGCCCTCCACCAAAAATATGAGAGAAGATGTCATCCATGCCAGGTCCTCCTCCTCCTCCCTCTCGTAGTCCCTGCTCTCCATAGCGATCATAAAGGTCCTTCTTCTCTGGGTTTGTCAGTACATCGTATGCAAAACTAATTTCTTTAAACTGGAAAAAAAAAAAATTAATTGACAAACAATTAGAGCACATAAGGCTGAAAAATATGCAGCACATCAAAACTAGAAGCCTTCTAAGTAATAAGAATAAAAGTGGACTTTGAAGTGTTAGGTGAATTTCAGTCACAAAGCAAAAGGCAGCTCAAGTGTTTTTATTCATTTCAAAGAAAAGTAATTTATACTGAATACACTGAGGTACACCTAATAACAATCCTACAAGACTTTGTGCTGCTGTTTAATTTTATAAAAATTAATGTGAAATCATTCTTTGAATCTGATAAGAAGGTGTATAATAATATCACTTAACACATTTTGGCACCACTAACCTTGTCTCCAGCATCAGGATTCTTGTCAGGGTGGTATTCTTTGGCCAATTTACGATAGGCCTGTAAAATAAATAAATGAACAAAATCAAAAATTAACATATGCCCATACATACATAATTATTTTGCTATTGCTAAACTTGAGTCACTGCACAATACACTTTAAAACCTTCAATAACTTGTTGTCTGGATATGATTTTTATCTTTTCTTGATCCGCTTAGCTCACAGACCAATTTGTGTAATGTCTAATTTGCTACTGACTAAATTGGGTAAACATAAAACAGAGGTCGACATAAACAGTTTCAGGTTGTCTGAGACAATAGGTTGTCTCAGACAACCAAGTGAAATAGACATGGATTAAAGTTCAGGGTGCAGGGGACCTCATCAAGGAGAGATGTTGGAGCAACTATTCACTTAAAATTCCCCTCAGTTCTTTTTTGCCCAATCCATTCAATGTTTTAAGCTGCATTAAGCAAAGGAGTGACAGCCTGTACAAGCCAGATAAACAAGGTGGCGTCAGTAACCAGGATGGTTAGGTCTCTCTTGTAAATGAGTCCTCGAGGCTCAATGGGATTTACCTGTCTAAATAAAGGTTGAATGAAAGGTAGGAAGGGTCCAGTTCATTAATGTAGTTTACAGTTTGGTTAATGTGTTTTAAATAGCATTCAGTTTTCTTATCAATGTTTGTGTGACATGCAGTTTGTGGTGTTAAATAAATAAATATTAAACCTGATGTCTTCATTTTCAAAATTTAATAACATGCAACGTTTCACACCAACAACATTTAAATCGCAGAACTTGAATTACATAATGTCCAGATAGTTTCATTTAGCTCAGATAGCTTCAGTACATCGCCCACCATTAATGGAAATACTGTTTTAGCATTCTGTTTTTATTTAGCACATTTAGTATGTTATACTCCAGCGCGACGCGTGAATCATATGTCTGGGTCGTTCAATAAATAGCGATTTTGAACTGGATCCGACTGGCGTCTCTTCCCAACATGGATGTCGGTCAGTGCACCTACAATCTGGCGTAGATTAACTACGAGACCCAATATATATTCCATCAATCGTAGCTCAGAAAGCAGTACGTTACACTCTGCTGCTATTGTTGTTGATAGAAATATGCCATCATATTTTCTTTTGTTGTCGTTTGTTTTGTTGTTAAAATAAAAAAATGCTGTCGGTCCACGTGGGCGCAAAATATACGCCTGTACTGTGCTTGTGGTTTAACACCTGCGGGAGCTGTGTACATCACAGCGGGAGGCTGCCTCAAAAATCTCCACTATGTCAGGTGGGTTGAGAAACCTCCGGATTCAAACAGGGGGGTGACTAGTGTTCTGTAAATGAACAGCAGAACCACAGAGATAATGAACCCCTGTGAGGAGTGATAGGGCAATCTGCATATGTATCTAGATTACCTCAGCACTATGACTCAAACCCCACACTCTGTTCTTTGAAGTGAGAAAGCTCCTCAGATGGGAAGCAAAACGTCTTCTGTTACAAATGAAGTCCAGTTGTTTTTGTCTTGAACTTTTTTGTAATTTAATAAATGATCAAATATGAAAAATAAATTGTCTTAAAAGACTACATGAGCCGAGAGCCTATAAATAAAATCGCTTTGAATGAAATGGTCATTTTTGGGAGAAATCTGTCAGTCTGGCAATAACAACAATAATAATGATGATGATTTTGACAAGTTAATTTATACTCTGCAAAGTACTCCATGTGCTATAATTTATAAAAAAATATATATCTAGTAGTTGTCACAGCTAACTAAAAAGTTAGCTTCGCTCACCCATATTCCACTAACAAAAAATTTTGCAGAAGCTAAGCTAAGCCGACCGTCACCCAGTCTGCGATGCACATCCTCATCTCTTTCCAGTTGAAGCTGCATCAACAAATCACATCTCGTCACATGTACAATACTGCCTTGAACACAACGCGTCTCTCTTGCAAAGTCTGATGACAAGAGGATGAGGAGATATGGTAAACTTTGTAAATGATGCAATATACTTAAATATTTTAAAGGTTGCAGACAACCAAAAACTTTGGAGAACAACCAGATTTTTGTCAAGAGGTTGTCCGCTGGTCAACCTGGTAAATTTCCTTAGGTCTACCCCTGTAAAATCATTTAAAGCACTGACAATGGGGGACGTGAGAGATCCCGTATTCTCCTTTTGAGTACATAATGTGCTTTTTAGTTGCTACTAATGCACGTTCACGTCTGCTTACAGGTTGCAGTTGTAGGTTGTGTTAGGTTGCCACAAGTTTCTCTGTGACGTTTAATCTGTGAAACCAAATCAGTGGTACCAAGTGAGAGGCTAGTATTCACAATGGTGTCTTTTACTTTATGTAACCACTTACATTTGTCGCCTGGCAAACCTCGTCATGTTGGAGATGATGGGGACTATTAGCTGGAACATGTTATCCTTCCACAGGTAGGTGTTGTGCCGAAAAAAGCAACGTCACCGGCAATTTGTGGAATGCTAGGCTGCACACTTGGAAAACGTTTAAAGATAACTAGAAACAAGGTATTAGGAAATAAAATATTTATGAGACCGATATTGGAGAATTACCGATTTTGAGATAATTTTATGGATGTATTTTTAGTCAGATAGCGTGAGTAAGGTTGTAATTAGCAGCTTAGCTCGCAAAAAACGAGATTAATTTATTAAAATAGACTGAGTAGACAAAAGTTACTTTAGCCTTAAAAAACACAAATCAGGTTGTCATTTTTTTACATTTATTTTAATAGTAAACGAGTAAACAAGCGTCCTGAAATGCGCTACAATCGACGACAGGGCTTTTAATGACGAGGATGCATTTTCCGATACAGCATCGGTAGCTCTCGCACTCGTGGCTGTTTATCTTCTTAGTTTTTCGCAAAGTAAATTTCAAGCCTCCGATAAATAAATGTAAATTATAAACGTCAGAATTTTCATCACCAAGTCATCAAAGGCAACGTTTTTGCTTAAATAACGAAAAAAACATGGTACGATTAAATATCCCAGCATGCTAATATGCTAAGAAACCTTTAGCCTTAACTAGCCCACATCCATTAGCTTGTTTTTTTAGGCCGCACCGCACTCGTAACTTTTAACATTCTCTTCTTTTTAAATCTTTCTCCACTAAACCGAACAAATGTCATTTCTGTTTTAAAATATACGTACCTTCTTAAGTTCGTTTTCGGATGCAGAGGGAGAAACTCCGAGGATGTCGTATAGCCTGGTGTCCGCAACGTTCGCCATGATGCTAACCGGCCGGCTGAGAAAGACCTTCTGCGGTTTCAGCTGAGAGGCGGATGCGTCACGGGTTAGAGCTGCCCGCGATTTTGCCAGAAACTCCACACACAAACAAATCTCTCTCTCTTCCCCTCTCTCCCTCCCACAATTTGTAATGCACCCATTGGTTATCATTTAGCCATATAAATAATAAATGAATGAATATGTGACCAAACTGAACAAAAATCCACACAATTTAACTTAGGATGCATTTTCGCTTACTTTAGTTACAGTACATGTCAACATAGTGTGCGTTTGAATACAGAAGAGTGAGCTAGTGGAAGACAAAATAAGTCAGCTTTTGAAAACAAAATATAGTTTTTAAAGCGATTAATTAAAAAAAGAAGAAAATGCAGCCTGATGGACTTAAGCCTTGCATTGTTTTTCAGTCAATTAATTACCAGTATTGTATGGGGTGCCTTTTGTAAAGTTACACAGTCAAACATTAACAGCAACATTTTTGGTTTATTTTAGCCTTTAATAAGAATAAAAAAGTTTTTTTTTTTCATAATCATATTTTCACCATGTTATTCATACATTTATACATGTCATAGTTCCAAACAAAATATTTAATTTACAAGCTAAATATTTTGTTTACAAACTAAATATTTAACTTGCAAGTTAAATATTTAGTTAGTAAGCTCAATATTTGGTTAGCAATCTAAATATTTAGTTTACAAACTAAATGTTTACATCCAAAATAAATGTTTAATTTACAAACTAAATACTTAACTTGCAAGTTAAATATTTAGTTAGCAAAGTAAATATTTAGGTGTAAATAAAATATTTAATTTTCAAGCTAAATATTTAATTTCCAAACTAAACAGTTAATTTCGAAGCTAAACATTTAATTCCTAAACTAAATAGGTAATTTGCTAACTAAATATTTAAGTTGGACCTAAAGATTTAACTTGCAAGCTAAATATTTAGTAAGCAAATTAAACATTTATTTTGGAAATTAAATGTTTAGTTTGGAAATTAAATATTTAACTTGAACAATAAATATCTATCCATCCATTTTCTTTACCCGCTTATTCCATTTCGGGTCACGGGGGTTGCTGGTGCCCATGTCCAGCAATCACTGTGCGAGGGGCGGGGTACACCCTGGACGGGTCGCAAGTCCATCACAGGGCCACATAGAGACAAACAACCATTCACTCTCTCACTCACACCTAGGGACAATTTAGAGTTACCAATCAGCCTAACATGCATGTTTTTGGACTGTGGGAGGAAACCGGAGTACCCGGAGAAAACCCACGCATGCACGGAGAGAACATGCAAAGTCCACCCAGAAAGGCCCCTGGACCGGGGTTTGAACCAAGGACCTGCTCCTGAGAGGCAGCAGCTCTACCAGTTGCGCCACCGTGCAGCCCAACAATAAATATTTAGTTTGGAAATTAAATGTTTAGTTTTGAAAATAATATTTAGCTTGTAAATTAAATATTTAATTTACACTGAATATTTAGTTTACTAACTAAATGTTTAACTTGCAAGTTATGTATGTAGTTTGTAAACTAAATATTTAGCTTGTAAATTAAATATTTAGTTGAGAACTATGAGATTTATAAATGTATGAATAACATGGTGAAAATATGACTGAAAAAAAAACACTATTTTTTCTTAAGAAAGGCTAAATAAACTAAAATATTGCTGTTAATTTTTGACTGTGTAATTTTACAAACCGCACCCCATATGTATTTCAAGCCTATTTAACTATTAGCTCTTTAAAATAACCTTGTTGATGCTAAAATACTACATTATGTGTCAAACTGTTATAATATCACTCATCTATCCATCCAGCCATCCATCTGGCTGAAAAAGTAATCAGTCATTCCAAAAAAAAAAAAAGAAAAGAAACCCTGAAAAACTTGGTCAAGATTGCAAGGAATTGGTCCTTTGAATCAGAATAAGCTTTATTCTCATTGTACCAAGATACAATGAGAATATGGACGTATACAGTCATCCAAAAGATGAGCGGAGTGCACATTTGGAAGCAAAATATAAACAAACAAGGCTTGAGAGTAGACTTTTACACAACAGAACTGTTAGTCTTTGTTAATTAAAAAAAAATCACTCATATTAGACAACTTGTTCAGTTGATTTAAGTGTCTGTAACCAACAAACAGTAACTTTCAGGAAACACCTTAAAGGTCTCATGGTGAATTGTTTTAGTTCATGTTCAGGGGATTCACAAGAAATATTTTCTTAATGTCACTATGTAAATAAAAACAACTTTACCACCTTTGGGTTTTTACAGTAATTTGCAATAAATGTTTTTTTTTTTCTGTTTTTGTCATAAATTCATGTTTACTTAGGCATTATTTATTTATATACACTCTTTTGTTGTTCAATGAGAAATACTTAATTTTTTAGAGTGAAAAAAGCAGAGCATCAATGAAATAATGTCTCCTTTATCTTAGCAACCACAGTAAACATGAATAATAATAATAA